TTTCCCGTTTCTTGTTTTGGGGTAATTCTGGTATGATATATCATTTTTCTCGAGCTACAGTCGGATGGGAGCAGAAGCTCTTATTCATAGACATTACTTTCGTTTTAACCCTAATGGATATTGAAGAATTCCTAACATCCATTTGAACAACATTTTCTGATCATAAAAATGAGCATAAATGAAAACGAAGAGAAATTATGCAGGAGATAAGAAAACCGGTGACTTATGGAGACATTTCAATTCATAACCTGACTCGATCCGGCTACGAATCGACTGATTATTGTAAACTTTAATCATAAATTTGAATTTAAATTTTGCGAACATTTTATGTCTTTTAAAGTCAATCATGTTAAGCATCAATCATGTCATAAACTTAATGTTGTCAATTTTGCATCAATCTGGACATTTTACACGCAAAAAAGTAATAGATTGACAAGTTCCTTACATAATTCATAGTTTTTTGACCATTATATATTGTCTAACCTTTAAGTACAGCATGCTCATGAATTGAAGCACTCAAGACCTTAACCAACAATTATGTGGAAATAAAAGAAATTTTCCAGCTCATCCACATGAAATGATGCCCCGCGAATAATTTTGTAAAGTCATAACTAATTCCTTACAATAATATTAAAGCAGTACTTACGGAAAATTCAATTATTCATTTTGTCGAAAATAACATCTCATGGCTTCAACTGTAATGGGTCGTTGTTGACATCATGTTTATTCATCTTCTCCGCTGCGACTTTCTCTCCTCGTCTCGTTCGCCAAAGTTCATTTCTTCCCATAATGCGGCTGACTTGCTTCTTCTGATGCCAAATGCAAAAATCGTTCCGGCTTCTTATTGATTGCGCTTTTTAAAGAAATATTTTCGAGTTGTAAGTGAGAGAAATGGAAAGATGAATGCAGCATCATCGTGCCCTAAGGTATTCGAAATGTAATAAGAAATTGGAAGATTTAAGCGATCGATTTGTAAATTTACAAAAATAACCTGTTTTAGTGCTAGAATTGCTTGTTGTTTGTGTAAAATAATTTGAAACGATACCTCAACAGTGAAATTGTAATGCTAATAGCATTGAGAGATGAATGTTAGGCATTTTCAATGATTTATGGTAAAGCGTTGTGAATTCTTGCCATTTCCTTGATGATTATTGTGAATTTTACAACTTACAACTGTATTGATTCTGGTTTTGATAAAAAATCAAGTTTGTGTGTCTAATAATTAAATTAAAGTTAATTTTTTCGATGTTTACTGAGTGAAATCTGAAATAAAACTGAAAATTGAAAAGATTAACAAGGGGCTTGCAACGACGAATATTTTTGAAAATTTGATTTTGTTTTAACCGTTAAATCCTTAAAAATTCCTAAAACTTGACGTGAGTTCTTGCCATTTCCTTGATGATTATTTTGTATTTTACAACTTACATTTGTATGTATTGATTCTGGTTTTGATAAAAAATCAAGTTTGTGTGTCTAATAATTAAATTAAAGTTAATTTTTTTGATGTTTACTGAGTGAAATTCTGAAATAAAACTGAAAATTGAAAACATTAACAATGGGCTTGCAACGACGAATATTTTTGAAAATTTGATTTTGTTTTAACCGTTAAATCCTTAAAACTTCCTAAAACTTGACGTGAGTTCTTGCCATTTCCTTGATGATTATTGTGAATTTTACAACTTACAACTGTATTGATTCTGGTTTTGATAAAAAATCAAGTTTGTGTGTCTAATAATTAAATTAAAGTTAATTTTTTCGATGTTTACTGAGTGAAATTCTGAAATAAAACTGAAAATTGAAAACATTAACAATGGGCTTGCAACGACGAATATTTTTGAAAATTTGATTTTGTTTTAACCGTTAAATCCTTAAAACTTCCTAAAACTTGACGTGAGTTCTTGCCATTTCCTTGATGATTATTTTGTATTTTACAACTTACATTTGTATGTATTGATTCTGGTTTTGATAAAAAAATCAAGTTTGTGTGTCTAATAATTAAATTAAAGTTAATTTTTTTGATGTTTACTGAGTGAAATTCTGAAATAAAACTGAAAATTGAAAACATTAACAATGGGCTTGCAACGACGAATATTTTTGAAAATTTGATTTTGTTTTAACCGTTAAATCTTTAAAACTTCCTAAAACTTGACGTGAGTTCTTGCCATTTCCTTGATGATTATTTTGTATTTTACAACTTACATTTGTATGTATTGATTCTGGTTTTGATAAAAAATCAAGTTTGTGTGTCTAATAATTAAATTAAAGTTAATTTTTTCGTCGTTTACTGAGTGAAATTCTGAAATAAAACTAAAAATTGAAAACATTAACAAGAAGCTTGCAACGACGAATATTTTTGAAAATTTGATTTTGTTTTAACCGTTAAATCCTTAAAAATTCCTAAAACTTGACGTGAGTTCTTGCCATTTCCTTGATGATTATTTTGTATTTTACAACTTACATTTGTATGTATTGATTCTGGTTTTGATAAAAAATCAAGTTTGTGTGTCTAATAATTAAATTAAAGTTAATTTTCCGATGTTTACTGAGTGAAATTCTGAAATAAAACTGAAAATTGAAAACATTAACAAGGGCCTTACAACGACTAATATTTTTGAAAATTTGATTTTGTTTTAACCGTTAAACTCTAAAAATGATCAAAACTTGACAAAGAGTATTATTTTTGCAAGTTCCTCAAAAGCACTTACGTGGATTCCAACAAAAGAAATCCACTCGAATGTCTATCAAAAAGCATAATTTACTCAAAAACTTTTAAAAACAATCAAACACATAAAATAACAAACAGCAATCAAACCATTTGACATTCGTTGTCGCGCATGTTCACAATAAATTATCAATCACTTCTTCCACCTCAACTTCTCAGCTTTTAATTTCTTTTTACACTCGGTCAAGTACTCTTTTTTAAAGTAATTCACTATAAAAACAGTTCACACGATATTCATGCTGCGTAAAAAATCTCGCCTCACAAAGTTGAAAGACAGTGGAACGAAGAAGACCAACAAAAAAAAAATTATGCATGACTATGATGTTTGTTAATTGCGTCATCAAAAAAATTATGATGAAGACAGAAGAATAAATAAATTTGAATAAATTCACATGAGTGACATTTCAAATGGATTGAAGACATTAGCTTGATTTTGAATGGAATGGATTGATGTCTTTTTGATCGGTTTGTCTGTTTAGATTAAGATATTGTGATTTAACATCATAATTGATAGGTTGATGCCAATAATAATTATGAAATCCAATTTGAAAGTTAATTGCACGTCATTTATCGATAAAGAAAATTATAGAGTCGGGATGGACATCAATTATGATTGATAATGTCATCAATTGTGTGGTATGATGTTGTTAAGACATCTACAGATAGGAATGAATCTCCAAAATACTTTAGGGCTGGCTGCTCAGTTTACTGAGGTTTACTAAACCATTACATCCAGCCTTTGAAAACAACACAAACCGCAAAAGAACATATTCAAGTCGTAAATTCTTATTTCATCCGCTTCCATTCAAAAGATGCGCCAGCAGCAAGTCACTCCAAGCACGACAATAATTTTTAATTTTTCGCCAGTCGCCTTTCTGTGCTGATGCATTACAAATGAAAGTTGTAATGAGTTTACTTTCCGATGCTCATGCCTTATGATCTGATAAGAAATATATTTCTTCTTCACTTAAATTAAACGAACAGCCTGCTTGTGCTGACTGGCTATCTCTTTTTTTTGGTACATTGTGTCTTCTGGCACTAAAGGTCAGTAATTGAGGATGATGATTACGTGGAGTGTATGGAAAAACAGCAGTAAGTGCTTTCAATTTATTTTTTATTAAAGAAAGTGATTGAATAATGGGAGATGGTTGATAAGGAATATTCATGATGATCTGTTCATGTGAATGGAAAAATGATGTTTTGGACAATATTGTTAATTTTAGAGGCATTCTCATGTCAATTTATGAGCATGTGTGGATTGATGTTTAAGAGAAATTTTTGAGATTTTAGTGCTTTTGGCAACAACTTAACTGTGGATAAGGTAGCCAAGTAATAGCTTCGTCCGGATCAGATCTAACCCGACTATCATTAAAGTTATATGCCAATCGACCATAGTTATATCTAATTTATCATCTTTTTGTCACGTTAAACTCCATAAACCATCAAATTCTAAAATCATAATTTCCTGAATCTCAAAAAGCAAATTTCACTTCCCAGTTGGACATTTAAATTGTCTTTTAATGACCATAACACGTGTAAAATTTTATTCCAAAAAAGGCTTTAGCAAATTATTGCGAAAAAGCTACGCTTTGTTTGACTAATCTTACGCATTTTCACACGCACATCTAGTCCAAATGAAATTCATTAATTTTATTTTCATCAACTTTTGTATCAGTACTGAAAATTACAGCATAAATCAAACGTGTGGATGTAGTCTGATCATTATTCATGTCGTAAAGTTCATCATTTATTTATCGACAGTATTTGAATCTGCTGTTTTTCACACATGATGAATGTTTTATTTATTAATCGATAACATCAATAACTGACTGATGAATGGCATTCAAAATTTGCGTGAATTGATCGTCAATCTATTCGAGATGAGTTGATCAAATTGTTAATATTAGGATAATGAATTTTGAGACAACAGTGTCAATATGCATGTACAATATGAACTTGCTTAGTTCAACTAGCTCAGCTTTTGGAGTCATGTGATCGTAAAATCAACTAGCTGCTCACTTTTGTAGACTAAAGAGATTCAATTTCACGCCCCTACAAAAGATCTTCTTAAAATGGCAGATTGACTTCCAAATACATCTGTATTCGTCAGGTTCCAATTTGGTACTATATTGTTCGATTAAATTATATTCCAACAAAATTGAATTATTTTATCTTTGAATTGATTAGAGTGAGATATCATAATCAGTATTTGGATGAGCCATAACAACTTTTTTGTGCAATTTTGCTTCATTCGTTAGTTTTCAGTCCTACATTGAGAATGAAAACAACACGTGTAGCTATTATTTTTTTATCATTAAGATTGGCGAATGCTTTCTGTGACAATTGTGTTGATGATACCGTAGAATTAAATATTGGCGAAATTGCTTGCCCTGTCAGAGATGTTGCTTTTGTGAAAATAGCAAAGTATCGTAAGAATTAGAAGACATTCTTGTTAATTAAAATTAAAATCAATATTTTACATCTAGGGGGTTACACTGACAATGGTGCTGAGTATCAAAAAACTTTTTTTGCCAGCAAATATCTCAGAACTGACTGGTTTGGAGCCAAAGTCAATTGCAAAGCGTTTAATCTTGAACTAGCAACATTTGAGACTTTGACAGAAGCACAGACTTTTCTCAATATGGCTTGGAATCATAATTTTATAATGTCACATAATTTGACTTTTTTCCTAATTGATGGGATGACCTTAACTCCCAAATCAACGACAGATTGGTATTGGACTAAGAATGGTGAAAAGATATCTTTTAAAATTCCTTGGCAGCCAGATGAACCAAACTTTGAGTTCGAAGAAGAACACTGCCTTTCAGTTTGGATTCAAGATGTAAAAGCTATTGGATTTAATGATTGTAAATGTCAGAAACTGACATGGCCATTCATATGTCAAAGAATTGATTATTATATTCCTATACGAGCAAATTAAAAATAAAATAATAAGGAATGTTCAGATGTATTTTAATCCCAGGAAAATCTATATGACATGAACTCGTGCAAGTCAATAATTGTATATTATTACAGCCCAAAAAATGAATAATTTTGAAAACAAATAATTAATATTGCAGAATATGAAGCTTTTAAAAATAGTCTGTCAGTGAGAATCTAAGGACTCGATGAACGAATCGCTAAGAAATAGAGCATTATCAATTCCCAATTTAATTCCCATTAAAAATCAATACACAACTGTTCCTGCTTCTCAGCGATTAGATAAAACTGTGATTTTAGAAAGATTAATTTACTTTTAATTCTGTTATTATCAGTAATTAAACTGGATATTGATATGTAGGTAATTAATATTTTACTTTTTAACACTTAGTCAATCTTTGAACGTGAAAATGAAACCACTGAAATTTATTTTTATAATTTTTTTTGCAAATATTTTTTGTGACAATTCAATTGAAAGAGAAATGAGAGAATCATCAATTTGCGAAAATAATGATCCTGTTAGAGACGTAGCTTTTGTTAGAATAGGACGGTATAGTAAGAATCATTTAAAATGTTTGTTTAAAAGTTCAGATTTTCATAAAATAAATTATTTAAGATGGCTACACCGATAAAGGCTCTGAATATCAAAAAACATATCTTGTATCTAGATATGCTAAAACAACTTGGATGAATGCAAAAACTTATTGTAAATCGTTTGATCTCGATCTTGTTTCATTCGAAACATTAACAGAAGTTTACAACTTCATCGATATGGCAAAAGAAAATTCATTTGTAAAATCATTAGGAGGAGTGCATATGCTGGTAGATGGCATGACTCCTACTCCTAATACCACAACTGAATGGTATTGGACTAATACTGGAACTAAAGTATCATTTACTCTGCCATGGCAAGAAGGAGAACCAAACTTTCTTAATAATGGAGAATATTGCCTTGCACTTTCAGCTCATGAAGTTAGTACATTAGGATTCAATGATTTTCCTTGTGATGTTGGATTATCTCCATTTGTATGTCAAAGAGCTGACTTTTATGTTCCTTTGAGGGCAAATTAAAATGATTATTTTTTTCCTGCAAAGGTTAATCTTATCATTTTAAAAAGTAATAAATTCTGTTATCGTATAGAGTGTAATAATAAATTAAAATTATCTCAAAGTCCAAAAAGATGTCAGTTTTCTTTTGTGCCTTTCAAAATGATGAGATATGTATGATGGCATGACAAATAAATACCGTAGTCAAATTTTAATATTTTCTGCAGCAATTGCTCTTTAATAAAATTGTGAATTAGAATACAACTTGATTATTTTGCACAAACATGCAGGAATTAATAAAAATAAGCAGTTTAATTATCACAATCAATCTGTAATTATAAGCCGATTAGCCAATCAGTACTTAAGCTAAGTACTAAGATAAATGTTCGCAAACTCTGCTAATTTTTCAGTACAATGAAGACATTAAAATCGGTTGCAACAATATTCTTGTTAATATTCATTTATCCGGCAACTTTATGTGATAGCTCAATTGATAATCAGACAGGATTAAGCATTTGCGAAAGCTCAGATCCTCTTAAAGATGTTGGTTTTGTGAGAATCGGGACATACAGTAAGACAAAATTTTAACATGTCGAAATTAAATGTCTAATTAAGAACATATATAAATTCAGAAGGATTCACTTACAATGGTGCTGAATATAAAAAAAGATATACTTAGCATCCAGATATGGTACAGCTGATTGGTTTGGTGCAAAAGCTATTTGTAAATCCTTTGGATTAGAATTGGCAACATTTGAGACACTAACCGAAGCTGAAACTTTTGTTGATATTGCGAAAGAACATCAATTTTTAAAAACAAATGCTCATCCACATGTCTTTGTTGATGGAATGGCTTTAACGCCTAAATCGAAAACAGATTGGTATTGGACAAGAACTGGTGAAAAAATACCATTTACTCTACCTTGGAGATTAAACGAACCAAATTTTCAAGATGATGAGTATTGTATTTCAATTGTTCTACACGAGCAACTCAATCTTGGATTTAATGATGTCCGATGTCAAAATGAAAAATTGCCATTTATTTGTCAAAGAATTGATTATTTTATTCCTGTCAGGATTAATTGATGATTCTTTTAAGATTAAAATTCTAAAATCTAGCGTTTTACTTTTCTAAACAAACTTCCTGTTTTTCTGAACGTTCAAATTAATTATCTTTATTACTTAAGCTTATTGACAAAATTTTTATTCTTAGCCAATCTTTTAATCAGTAATATAGTCAATAGTAGCAATAAAATGTCGAGTCCAATTATTGACAAAAATTTGTTATTGTGTCAGTCATCGAAATATGAAAACGTCAACAGTGTTTTTGAGGATTATTTTATTTTATCGCTCTGTTATTTATTTTGAAGAAGAGACAATAAACTTAGAAAGTCAGAATTTTTCTACATGTAGATTATTTTTTCTATCTATATTTAGACAAAGTCAACATTAAAAAAATTTTCTTTATGAAGAGAAAATATATGAAAGATTTTTCTGCTATTTGCGTAAAGAATTGATCTACATAAAGATTGTGTCTGCGGTACATAAATTCTAGGAACGATTCTACATTCTTCCTCTAGTGTAGACATCTACATTTGCAGCACTGTTCCAGTATGAATGCCAAATGTTACCAAGAAAACCCTAAAGCTCATCGAAAGTGCGCATACTTACGCAACAATCATAAAAAGATAATCACTATGGACGGTTCTTCTCATATCCATTTTATTTCTCATCTTCTTCTTGTTCATGCTACTGCGCATATTACAATGCGCATAAAAATTATCAAGATTATTGTGGACATGGAAATAGAAGTATCTAGTAGTGTCTAGCTTAAAGCTATTGTTTCTAAAGTTACGTCCATCAAAAAAGTCATTTTCTCACGCCTCACACCTTATATTTAACTTCTTTTTTTGCACTATCTTAGCCTAACTGAGGTAGTAAGTAATAAAAGAAATATAATAGTGTGATGATAATCATCATTATGGTATGAAGAAGATTTTATATAAAGATATTAGGCATTGCTTCAGATATGAATAGAAAAAAAAGAGCCGACTTATGTCAATCATTCATCGATACTATTGGATGTCTTTTGTTACAGTCATAAAAAGATACAGCAACAAGAGATTTCTCACTTTTAATTTGTCAAATTAAAGCATGTGATGGAAAGTGTTACTATTTATGGGCAATAATATGACCGATATGGAGATTGGTCAATGAAAGTAGCTTCATGTGGATAATTTTGTGGTTTAAGCACTTCTCACAAATAAGGAGAAAACAAATTAAAGAGTATTTCCTAACATGTGAGCATAATTATTATGTAAATCGGAAGTGAGCATTTATTAATTTAAATTGGACTAATTCATCTTCAACAGCTTGACTTCAAATAATTAATTTAATTTGCAGCTTTTGATTATATTGATACAATGTGAGCGAAAATTGATTTCTATTGACTGTAATTGGCTCAAAAATTTGCAATAAATAAGGCTCTATGTTGGTGCTTAGAGCTTAATTTGCTTCTTTGGATAGAAAATATAATTTTTAAGGCACTGAAAATTGAGATCTTTAAATAGTAATGAGCTAATTATGGGATCAAAAGATCAGTGGAGCTTAATAATTGGGATGGAATTGGAATAAAATTGATGAATTTAATAATTTAATGAATTTAGCAGTATTGTCCAAACTGTGTGCCGCGGCACTCTGATGTGCCGTAGAAATTTTTTTAAAATGACGCGAGCCGTATGCTTTGTGCGACTTTAGTCATGGTTTCCCCTAAAGTGTGCCGTGGCTCAAAAAAGTTTGGACAACACTGCACTATAGGAAACCTTCAAATAGATAAGGCATTTAGCTTGGCAGAAACTATTGGTATTTATAATTTGTTTTAACCATTATTTATGGATCATGTTATTTTGATAGAAGAAATACATTCTAATCCATTCTCTCTTAATATCATTCGTGCCAATTTTAACATTACTTCCAAAATGATACAAATTAAAATACAAAAATCACACGAAAAGCATTAACCAAAAAGGCAAGAGACACAAGCCATGAAAAAGCAATAATTTAAATAGGCATGAAAAAGATATTTTTGTAATCTGATCTTTACCACTAAGACTAACATTGAGTTTGTGCTGGAAACGTGAGGTTGAGCAGATGTTATAAGAATTCCTTGCTTCATTTACTTCCACACGGTAAATTCATAAATACTAAAAACAAAAGTCTGTGCGTCAGAAATTTTCAAACAATCATATCCATTACAACGCTCAATAAAATTTTGCATAACAAATTGAACGGAATTACTTATGTGCATGAACAAAAAAAGGTGGTGGATTAAGATGCATAAAAAAGGCCTGAAATTATCTTTAAACAATGCTCAATTGCTGATATGGGAAGTAAATTCATAAATGTTTTTACCCATTTCACATGGGTGAGAAGAAAATGTCTTAATTTGATGAATTGACGCCTGTGTTTATGTAAAACAATTCAGTCACACCATGTAAAGAAGGAAAAAGAAGCACGTTCGATTGAATTGAAATGTGTAATCAGATGTGTAATTTTTATGAAGAATTTCATTTGATTGAGGATTGAACAGCATGTGTGTTTACGGAAATTAAAGCTTATTAGCAATAATATGGAATTTTTTGAGTGAAAGCTTAGTATTTTAATTGAATATAAGAATATCCGCGAAGAGTTTAGTTACCTAGCTTGTCAATTTAAGAGATTCTATTCATTCCTTTCGGATAAAGTCAGCCTTTTTTTATTAGATTATTTTTAGCCTTCACATTGTCGGTGTTCATTGGAAAACTCAAACTTTATTTTCTACAATGATTAGAATATGTCCTGAGGCTAATCATAGCGTGTTTTACGAACCAAATATCCCATTTACACTAAAGAATAGAGCTTGAATATACCAAAGAACCCAACCCCTAATGAACCCAACCCCCCTCCTCTCAGAAAGCAGTAACTCAACTCATAAACATTGCCACAAACACTTCAACATCCACTAATCATAATAATATCCCACGAAATCACCTCAATCAACCAGTAAACTTCCCTTCGATCATGACATTGCCATTACTGATTATTCAGAAACTCTTCAACATTCCAATCAACAATCCAGCACAAAGAAAATAGTTTGAATATCCCAAATGAAAGCGAGAAAGTTTAATGATGTGATTTGTGGATATTGGCATACTTAATTATCATCAATTTGCAAACAAACTTCTTTTTTTCTCGTGATGATTGTTAAAAAAATATTTTTAGAAATAAAATCAAGCTCACAAGCGGCTGGTGTATGCTAATAGTTTATGCTAATTTTGTGCTTTTTCTTCGCTGATTTTTTGGTGTTTTTTGGGAAAAATAAAGAAGACATAAATATGAGACACAATCGTACGCATGCACAAAGAAGAAACATTTTGATTAACTTAAAATTACTTCCTGCTTGACTACTTTACTTCTTCTTTGTTAAAAGAACTGACTGGTTTTGAATTAGAATTTGATATTTCTAATAAGTGACTATTAAGCAATGTCGTGGTCGGAGTCGTGGATTGAATTTGGATTGATTTTGATGATTCAAACGTGATTTGGATGAATTGATTACAAAACTTGAGCAACAGCAATTAAACTTAATTTTTGTTGATTTATAAATTCTTTTTAATTAATTCGAGGTTATGAGACCTTAATATTCAATTGGTTGTAGCTTCTTTGTTAAGTTCTGATAGTTCATCGTTGTTTACTAATAAGTTACAAGCTAATTCTAGCAAATACGTATTTAAAATCTTAAAATCTATCCAAAAATTTCCTAATATAACTTCAATGTTTCTTGTAAACCAAACTTCACAATAATATCATGATTTATCATATTGTATCGAACTTTAAAAGATGTAATAAGCCAAATTTAGACATAATCCAAGTGGTTGAATCAAAATTTATAGGACTTCATATCTTAATAAATTACAATAAATCATAATTTAATAAACGCAAACCTCAAGTCTATTTATGTCTAATCAATAGATTGATTGATGAATTTGCGATATAACGAATAAAGAGAATTATAGTCTTGTATCATGACATAATATTTGTAATTTATAATTGAGACAGTTGACTTGAGATTTAACAAAACAAACCTCATTTAGAATATCACAAAAGTATTTTGTTATTCCGAGAAATGAGAGCTTTTTCTAGAAATTTTCAGACATAACAAAACAATCGTGCGAATAATAGCCACAAAAATGGCAAATTTATGTCCACAAATTTAATTTTATTGTACAAAAATTTCTCAAGCAAATTCGAAAGGTGACCAGAGGTCCTTTCTTTTAAAAAAGTATCCAAATCTTATGCAACTTTGATGAGACAATTCACAAAAAAATTTCAGTCATCTCAACAATGACTTTATTCATCCATCGACACATGTGTGTCTCTATGGAACTTCATTTCTACGTGATCATCTTTTTATGAAGTGAAATAATATGTAGAAATTACAGCAGCTTTATCTTATGCAATGTCGAACGCAAGATGAATTTTAACAATGAAATGAAAGTAAAGTTTCAGTCTATGAGCTCATCTGAGTTATTATTTCACCATGCAACAGAAGAAAAGAGTGCAGGAAGAATTTTAACTGATTATATAGAAGACGCATGTCTTTGCATTCTTGTATGCATTGAGACATAAGCAGAAAGTGAAAGTAATGAGGTACGAGATGAAAGTCACAAAAGGACATGTGTGTAGTTTAACATTGAACCTCAATAAAATATTTTTTATTACTAAAGAAGCAGCCGAGCTGGAATTTCAAGAAAAAAAGTCGCAGGTCAACAATTTCTCTTTTATATTAAACTTCTTCGTGTGATGATGATACTGAATTAATTTATGGCATGCTCAATACGTGCAAAAAAAATATTTTCAATATTTTCACAATATTTTGATAATTTAAAGCAATATTGAAATAATTATTGATTAAAAATGCATGCTTTTGTAAATAAGACGGTTAAAACCTTGTAAATGTGATTTCTTACCTTTTGGATTGACTAATAACTTAATTAAAGTATTTCTTGATTATTTCTTATGAAATTCTAAAGGTGAACTGAGATTGAAAACACAACAAAGGGGGTCAGTGTCAGAGTCATTAAAAATTCAAATATTAAATTGCCGTTACAATTTTCTAAATGAAAAAAGTTTCTTTCAAACCAAAGTTTGCATAAATTTTAGGTTAATTCCATTCCTGCTAGTAACCAAAAGCGAAATCCACACTTCACATATCAAATTCATTCATAAGAGCCCAAAAAACTTAACCACACACAATTTTCTATCTTGAAAACTAGAAAATAACACAAACAATAAATATTATTGCCAAACCACGACTATAAATGATCTTAAGTATGATAAATAGATTAAACAGTAGAAGAAGATGGCTACAACTCACCACATACGACCACATCAACTGTTAAACTTTTCTCCAAATCAATCAATTTGATGCCTGTATAGCCGGCAATAGAAATTCACATTCATTAAGTTAATGCCGCGAAAAGAAATTTTCTGGTATGGAAAATAAAGTGTTAAACATTCAGAAATTACACGCGTGTTTGATTATTTAATATTCAAAATGAAATTTAATACATTTTCTCTACAAATCGCCTGTTTATTAAAACACATTTTTGCATGGAATTTAAAAACAAGGAACTCAAAAATTCAGCAGTAAATTCGAGAAATTTTTCATCAGCATTTAAAAAAATTATTATGAAGCTCCGTAAAATCTACAATGTTTAATTCATCTCCTCATGGTTTTCCCATGATTGCTGTCAACCAGAAAGAGTAGACTTTATAGTTTTTAACTACATTGTTTCTGGCATGTAACTACTCATTGAGTTATGTCTCGGATTTTATGACGCTACAGGTTCCTGAACTTCTTGAATGTTTAGATTTTAAGTTGAAAAACGAGCATGAAGAAGCGCATATGTTAAAATAAGAATTTTTCAAATTTCACGAATTTTTTAGTTTAAACAATATAAAAAGTAGCTAAAATCAACATATATTCACACCCTTAAGTCGTCATATCCAGCAAAAATCCCAAACATAAGCAAAGCTCAAAAATCCTTGAAAACTTTCTCAATCATCTTAATTAAATCAACTCAATCGAGTATTCAGCTATTAAAATCATTCAAAATGAATCACATGACATATTATTTATTACAAAAACACGCTGAAAGAAGTAAGAAGTAGTTATTACACCGAAAAAAAGAAGATATATGTACAAATAAAGTAAAAAAAAACTTTCTCTCACAACGCAATTTGCTAATAGTTTCCGACTAAAGATGTCTCGGCACTTGCAGCACTGTTTTTAACATCGTCTTCATAAGTGAGACGAAATTGTGAAAAACAAGAAATTTAAAATTATAAAATGCAGAAGAAGACGATGTTATGGGTACATCATGTAATAGTAATTAATCGGAAACTGAGTAAAAGCTTGAGCAAGAAAGATTGCAGCATACGAAATTGATATCCAATGAAATTGTTTTTTTTTCAGACTGGCGAGAAATGATTTTATTGCGTGCTACAAAGGCATTGTGAACAATTGTGGAAACAAATCGTTCAGTGTAATAACACGGATTGAAAATGAATTGATTGTGGATTTTTTTTTTATTCTATTTAATGATTTTTAACAATTCATAAACAATGGGAATATCCACACTGTAGTCAATAATGATAATGACTGCTGATGCAATAATGTTATGATGATAAAATCGATATAGGAAAATTATATTATGCGTAACTGACTTTATCGGATTAGCGCCAATCACAATTAAAGACTCAGTAGCAAAAACACAATTTCTTCTCTCTTTTGTGACTTATTGTTTCATTAACTTGATCATCTTTACTGTATTATTATTACTAGTGTTATGTTCACGTCTGCAGATAATAAAAATATGTAATTCACTCAATAAGCTTAAGAAAGCATCGACAATCAAATATTTCCACGAAAAAGACATTAATATTAACAATGATATATTTCATGCGAGTAAAACTTTGTGGAAAATGAAACATACTGTTTGGAAACTATAATCTTACTGTTGATTCTATGTTATTTAAAGCTCGTTAATAAAATAAAATAAATTGGGCGAAGAAAAGTTGCAAAAAACTATTTTTGTATCAATTGTTCAATTTTGTTGAATTGTTTTGCATCAATTGGGTTAATTGAGTTGTTTACTTGATGCAAGAAAGCAGTAGAAATGTTTATCTAGCTTGCATATTCTTCAATATGTTATGACATGTGCATATATTGAAACAAATTCTCCTTATTTGAAGCAAACGATTCGCGTCATTTGAAGTGAAAAGTTTCCATTATTTGAAGCCAAAAGTTCGCATCATTTGAAGCGAAAAGTTTGCATCATTTGAAGCAAAGAGTTTGCATCTTTTGAAGCCAAAATTCAAAAAAAAATCAAGAAATGTCTGCTTCTGTCAAATTTATCAAACGACTTTACTCTTAATAAACACTTGTACGAGTTCCTGTATTTAATATCTAATCAGCGGTGCTCTTTATATGTCATACTTCAATACTCTTATAATTGTGACATTATTGATTTCAAATTTGGTGTAATTGCTGATATCAGCACTTGAAAATAGCTTTCCTCTTAAGAAGAGGGATTTACTTAGATTAGCTGAGTCATAATTGATATCTTATCACTCAATAAACCGCCACACAATCAAACAATAAATGTATTTCTGAGAAAACCAAAACAATAATGAAAATGTTTTGGAGCTATTAAAAGTAGACACAATGCGTCCCAGTCGTCGTTGTTATAAATCTATTCAATCTTGTAATTGTAAGTTAATAGAGCCATTCATCATACCTAGTTGGAAGTGTATCGTAAAATCTTTTTAAAAAGCCATAAAATGTTAACTGAGCATGAATTAATTTACTTCGGTCATAACTTTAAATGTATTTTTTATTAAATTGCCGTGGAAAAATTCCATTTTCACATACTTGATCTTTATCTTTATGGAATCTCTTTCAACAAAGTTTTTCTTCTTTTTCTTTACAGTTAATCGGCATATGCTCAATAGCACTTCTGTCTTGTACATTTGCTGCCATAACTCAGTCACCACCAACGACGATTTCTGATGGAACTACAGTCACAATTAATCCAAAACTTCGAAAGGCATTGCTTGAGGCTCTAAGCAATTTTGAAGGCGAAGATAGTACAGAATCGAGTGATGAAGCAACAACAATTACAAGCGAAGAAATTGAAGATGTAACAAATAATCCAGCAATTATCAAAGTTCATTCATTCTCAATCGATGGCGATAAGTCTGACGAAAATGAAATCATCAAGACAATCATCATATCCCGCCCACGATCAACATTGACACCACCAAAACCTGATGATGAGGACACAGTTCAAATCAATTTTGGTATCACACCGGATCCAGTAACGACATTTGCTGATAAGTCTGACAATATTGTTTCACCACGCAGCACCAATTCTCAAATAGAAGCCGACAAAAAAGAGGAGAAGCCAAAAAAGAAGGCATCAGAAAAGGCAATCACTAAACCAGTCACTCCACAAACAACTACAACAACTCTTCCACCACCAGTCACAAATGCTGATGGTGAAAATATCGAGAAAGTTGCAAAGGATGGAGTCAAGATCTTCCAAGCTCCATTATTGGCAGCATTTACAGTTCAACAAGACATTAATGGACAACCAAATAAAGTCATTTCCTTATTCAAAAATCCACAGCAAGCAGCTAAAGACAATAAGAGGATTGTCAATATGGAATTTCGTGGATCACAACCAGAATTTGTTGCTCAATCAACCCAAGCTCCGTTGACAACTTTAAGACTTCCAAATGTCAATACTCAAGCTCCAGTTGAACAACAAAGAATAATATCAATTTATGAAGAGAAGCAGAGACAACTTGAGGAACAAATTAGATTCTTACAAGCTAGACAACGTGATCAGGAAGAGTTTATCAGACGTCATCAAATATTAGAACAAAGATTAAGATTCGACGAGGATCAAAGACGTCAACAAGATGTTCAGCAACAACAGCAACAAAATTTCTTCCGTCAGCAACAGCAGCAACAACAACAACAAATCCAATCAGTTCCACAACCACAAACTGCAGCTCTTATTGCCCCACCATCCTCAACTAATAATGTTGAGTTTGTTCAAAGCATTCCAGTTGGACATACAGTCGGTATTTCTGTTGAGCAACAACTTCCATTCAAGGGTCCAGTTGAGTTCAATCCAGACAAGCCAGACTTCCAGAAATCACTCATTCAACGCCAACAGCAATTCCAATTTAAGCAGTTCCAAACACAACAACAGAATTTGCAAGCTAATCAAGGATTTAGACAGGAATCGCCACAAATTCAAAAAGCTGAAATTCAAGATCTTGGAGTGTCTAGATTGCCATCAGGATTAGAACTTCCAGTAAAGTCAGCAAGAGATTTCAATTCTTTCAATCATTTCTACAATATTGGATTGGAACTTCCAAACAAACCCGCCAAGGAATTCAATCCATTTAGTCAAGTCCAAAGCTTCGAACTTCCAATTAGACAAGCTGGAGAATTCAGAACATTCAGTCAACTTCCAACAAATCTTGAATTGCCACAAAGACCATTCCAAGTCTTCAATTCAGCTCCACTCAACATTCTTCCATCACTCACAGACTTAGCACCTCAATCTGAAGCTCGCAATCGAGTCTTTCGTAACGATGCACTTCAGACAGGAAACTTTGGTTTTAACTCACCGAATGTGCAATTCCAGCAACAACAACTCGTTCCCGTTGACGGAACTTTCGACGTTCAGTTACAAAATCTTCTTGCACAATCAGGCATTGCTTCACGCTCAGCAGAAGACTTTAGAATAATATCGAAGGTGCTCGCACTCAATCATGGCGTACCTAACAACTTTCTATTAAATAATTCAGGAAGATTCAAGTGAGAATGGAAGTACAAAAATCTGAGTCTCTAGTTTGTCCTTCTTCATCTTTGAGTTTCCTTTCTGGGAACATCTTTTAGATGTGATGAAGAAGAACATACGGCTTGTTTCACTAAAGTGGATTATCCTCGATTTCGGATTATCCACTTCAGTTTTTCGGAAATATCTCCAGACGCTTAAGGTTATTAAGAGATATAAAGTGTGATCTCCTTAAAGTACTTTGCTACTTAAATTAACATATACTAAGAATTTTTATGTCTTCATTAGTTTGAGAATTATAGCAAAAATTGAAGTTAATCTTCTAGATTTGGCTAGAAAATTGAATAATTAATACTTCTTAATGAAAATTAAAAGTTTAAAGTGTACAGAAATTTCAGGCATACTTCACTCTTTTATAATCCAAAATTAGAAATACCACACCTCCCATAAAGTTTAAGATATTTACAAAAAACTGAAATGGATGATCCGAAATCGAGGATAATCCACTTTAGTGAAACAGGCCGTTAGTCTTTCATACACTTAGATCCTTTTACTTCCAATTCTGCTTCTCTGTTCCCTATTTTATTTATGAAATTTTCCTTGTTTATTATTTTTTTGTTACTTTTAATGTTATGATTACTAAAAAAGATGATTATTAAGTCGCCATAAAATGTATTGCTTATCCAGTTTATTGTTTGTTGCTTCTATGCCTTATGATTATTATGTAAAAATAAGACGGATGATTAATTAATTTATAAATGATAAAAATGAATTTTGGAGAAAAGTTTGTTGAAGATTCCGAGAAGTACAGCATGGCAATGACAGTCACATAGTTGCCACCACAATGCAACAACATAAATGACAGTCATGTGATTCCTTTTACAACGATGTGATGCTTGGAACTCTTCAATATTTTTGTGGACAATAAGAAATTTTTGAAATTGTGGATGTAAGCAATGGCTTTTTGATAAACTCATAGGAACTAGTTTTATGTAATTTTTATGTAACCTTCACATCCAGGAGAAGTATTTATCACTTAACCTCAAAATTCCAACACAAAACACTCCTCTCTTGTTGTCAAAATTAGATCCAACGAAGTTACGAATTTCCTTAATCCAAATCACATCCACAAGATATCACAAACCTCGATATAGCATCCATAAGCTTAAGTTAATGTGTACAATAAAAAAGAATTGTTTAATAAAAAAAAATGTTAAAAATCCAGTAGCTGCTTTTATTGTTCCTGAATGCGACAGACAATTGGAATATTATAAAATCTTGTTTCAGGGTCAGAAATTCTGTTGTGCTGTTTAATCTGCTCGATTGTAGTCTTCTTGTACTTTTTCCATTTTTGGTTCCTTAAATGTTCTTCGAACAATTTCTCCTGCGATGGAATTGATGAATTAAGGAACAACTTGATTCTTGGCCAGACATTTCCAATATTTTGTGCTTTTTGGAAGAGCCAAAGTCGTGGAATCAACAAGCACTGCACAATAGTTCTCGCTATAATTATTCGATTTTCAATGTTTTCACCAATTCCAAAAACAGCACCAACTGAGAATGTTCCAACATCGACAAATTGATATTTTATGCTCGCATCATCACCATCCGTTATTGGCTTCAATCTGTCTGATGAAAAGTTTTTCGTAATTGCCATATCCAATGCATTCATTCGTTTCTTTGGCGCAACGAGACTGACTTTTCCATTTGGCTTTTCGCGAAGTTTTAGACATTGAAGTATCATGCATTGCCCAGACAGCACAAAGTATGAGAAATTAGACTGAAGTGTAATGAGACTAGAGGTATTAAATGTGATTGAAATAATTGCAAATTATGAGATCTTACAATGTCATTCTGGGAAAATATGATGTCTTGTGGATCATATTGTACTATTTTGGACATCACGCAGCATTCTCGGATCTAAATGGATGGAAATTAGGGTGTTAGAGACAGTTTTAATTATGAATAGACATAATTCCTGCATTAGGGATGATTTAATTGAAACCTAAGAGATTGAAATGATCATAAGAACTAATCCAGATCCTACTTTAGAAACCCTCTGCCTTCCTTAAACATTCTGGCTTGAACGTAAATTAATTTTGTGGAATATCATGGAGCAACCGCATGTACTAAACTTCAATTCCTTTTCAAATCTCTTTATAAAATACCGACTCATCTTACACGGTTGTTAATCACAGTCAAATTACTCTTGTAACTCGCTTCGGGGAGCAATAATTTTTCAACTTCTTTTTTTTTGCGGTTACAACTTCCATTTCCCAAGAAATTCAACTCGTAGAGAAATTTAACAGTTCAGAGTTTCATTTGACTGAAAAAGGCATCCGTAGTTTCACATATTGTCATAACTTAGTGCTCACCAGCAGCTATTTTGACAAATATGTGGTCATAATTGGATAGGATGATTATCTTTTGGGTTTTACGAGTTTTGTCCTTACCTCTTTTTTGGTTTCTTCTGTTTCGAAGTAGTTTGGTTTATCACACATTTCATTTTTTTTTATACAGAATTTCCTGGATTTATGCTCTTTAAGGCTCACCATCTAAAGTCAAATCTGTGCCTTATGCTTACTCTTGGTATCAATCTATCAAGTTACACAGAGTTTTAGAGTCATTTCGATTTCGCATGATTTATTATATAGATTTCTTCGTCTATTTAAGTGTTGTCAAAACTGTGTGCACCGGCACAATGGTGAGCCTTAAATTTTTTTAAAAAATGACCCGAGCCACACGCTGTGTGCGATTTTGGTCATGACCTACCCCTAAGCTGTTCCGTGACTCAAAAAGTTTGGACAACACTGGTCAAGTTTGTACAGCTCGGGGTAACTGGTTCATAACTTTACAAATCATAAGTGACTTACAGTAACCAACTCTGTTCCCAATATCAAAAAATCACTAGCCAGCCCATAATATTCCAATAAATTCATAAGCAACTGCTTTAAGGTAAGTTCACAAAAAAATTCAAATGACAGAATATAACGCAATACCCCAACTTAAACAGCACCAAATATGACAAGGAATCTATTTTTTCAATTTACAATGTTTTACAGAAAATGCCAATCTCATTACAGTCGTCAATCGCTCACGCAATCTTATGAAAATTAATTTAAATTCACCACTTCACACAATAAATAAAAATATTCGCAATTAAAGTTAAGTCTTACCTTTTCAACCGTGTAATTATTGAAATACTCGAATCGCCGTAGTGCCTGTGTAATATTTTCATGTTTTGACTCCAGCGTTGGTCTTAATATTTTATCAAAGTCTTCTTTATACAACAGCAGCAGCTCACAATCGGCTATGGAATAAAATAAGATAGAAATTGAAAGCAAGAAGGTCTGACTTTATTTTGCGACTGTTTTGAAGCTAATGAAAAGCTGAATTTCACAAAAATATAAAAAATAGGTAGAACAAGGCAAAACAAATTAAAGGATATAATGATTGAAAGAAGTATGCCATCACGCGAAAAACAATAAGCCTAACATGTCTCTCCCCTCGCTCGAGCTCTTTTGTGTTCACCCAAAAGTCTATTTGAGGCATGGAAAAAAGCTATAATTCAGTGCATCGATTGAAAAATTTGCATAATCGACAATTATAGGAGAGGAACTACATTGTAGATTCCTATACATTTAGTACGTGTCCTGATTGACAAGCCAAAAGGAGGGAAAAATTGAGTAAGAAACAGCACATATTTCACCCTCGAATCGATATTGGCAATACATTCAATAAGCCGTAATAAGTTTGAACGCACACTTTTTTGTTGATGATGAATTGCAATCGTGTTTTGATTTGTTGGCTGGGGGTTCTGATTGTTTGATGGATGTTATTTTTTAAAAATACTGTTTTGAAGGTTATCAAGTTGATTAAAAAGACTGCTAGCTCCTCTAATCAATGAAACATTATAACTTTGCCAAGGAGACACAAATGGATAATAAAACTATAAAGAATTGGAGTTCCTAAATCCACCATAAGCAAAACCTAAATCTCCAAATAAAATAAATGATTCTGAATTGTTGCTTAATCAAGATTTCTGTGTGTAGTCTATAAAATAAGGCTAAGATTAGCTTAATAGATAAAATTCAAATTTCCTGCAGTTTCCCAAAAATGTATGAGAATTTCTGAAGTTTTGGGAAGTTTTTGTTTTTAGCATTTTAATGAACAGGACTTGATGAGACTGAAGTGTAATTATTATTATTATTATAGTATTTGCTTACCTTAGGAATCTTGCAGGAGCTTTCAGAAGTTTGGGAAGTTTCCTAAGCGTGTATGCCTTGCATATTTTAGATCATGTATAACTTTTTTATAAATATCATATCGAGTAGTAACAAAAAGAAGTGAAAACAACTCAGAATTCATGTCAGTTGACAAAATATCCTTTCAAATCACATGCTTAATATCACCAAAACCAAAATAAATACTTCTACAACTTGATTTTCAATATCATACATCAATATCAAGCCGTAAGATTTCATACTATTTATAGCATGTAAATGTGATATGAAAGCAACAATCATCATCAAGCCAATAAATCACGTAACATGTCAGTTATCATTTTTAACGCATTTTTTGAAAACTTGTTATATTCACACCGTTTTCACGTGAGAAAACACAGCAAAATTGGTTATAAAAGGTCACAGAAGAAAAGTTTGTGCCTGAATTTTTGAGAAAATCACAAAATACGCTTTCTGTAAGCAAGCAAACAAGGAAACAAGCAAGTTAATCAGCAAGAAATCTCAATAACGAGACATTGTAGAGACTTCTAGTTTTTTACATTTGATCCGTGCTGCTCTATAGAAGAGCTGTATTGTTTTTGGGCAAGGTAGGAACAGCCGTTGCTTCAGAAAAAGCAAAAACTTTCCTTTCTTACGAATTTTTCAAATTAAAAGTTCACTGTGATTTTTTTTTTATTTTAAATTAAACTTTGGATAAAAAATTTTTTTTTGAGCAAAGAACCAAGAAGGAAATACATTTTCAATTATGAACTTGGGACAGGTCTAGTCAAAATCTAGTTTTTCACTTTTTTTCTTCGAAGGTTTATCCAATTACAGTGAAACTTTGTGTGAGTATACTAATATTTATACAAAACAGTTTTAAATATCTAAAGCAAGAAATGTATTCTATATGTCGTCAGACCCAAATTTTATAAATTTGGTTGTACATTCAACAACAACGTGACTTACAATTTTGTCCAAAAAAATGATTTTTATTAATTCAGAAATATGTGACCTGAGGATTAGAATGCTCATACAAAGTTTCACTGTATTTGGATTAATCCTCGAAGAAAAAAGTGAAAAACTAGATTTTGACTAGACCTGTCCCTAGTCCAAAATTGAAAATGTATTTCCTACTTGGTTCTTTGCTCAAAAAAATTTTAGAATGTTTTATTTGTATTTGTTTTAAGCACCAGAATACTTATGCAAAGTTTCAATCCATTTGTATAAACCCTCGAAGAAAAAAGTGACAACTTTGATTTTGACTAGGGTCGCCCCTAGTCCAAAATTGAAAATGTATTTCCTACTTGGTTCTTTGCTCAAAAAAATTTTAGAATGTTTTATTTGTATTTGTTTTAAGCACCAGAATACTTATGCAAAGTTTCAATCCATTTGTATAAACCCTCGAAGAAAAAAGTGACAACTTTGATTTTGACTAGGGTCGCCCCTAGTCCAAAATTGAAAATGTATTTCCTACTTGGTTCTTTGCTCAAAAAAATTTTAGAATGTTTTATTTGTATTTGTTTTAAGCACCAGAATACTTATGCAAAGTTTCAATCCATTTGTATAAACCCTCGAAGAAAAAAGTGACAACTTTGATTTTGACTAGGGTCGCCCCTAGTCCAAAATTGAAAATGTATTTCCTACTTGGTTCTTTGCTCAAAAAAATTTTAGAATGTTTTATTTGTATTTGTTTTAAGCACTAGAATACTTATGCAAAGTTTCAATCCATTTGTATAAACCCTCGAAGAAAAAAGTGACAACTTTGATTATGACTAGGGTCGCCCCTAGTCCAAAAATTGAAAATGTATTTCCTACTTGGTTCTTTGCTCAAAAAAATTTTAGGATGTTTTATTTGTATTTTTTTTAAGCACCAGAATACTTATGCAAAGTTTCAATTCATGTGGATAAACCCTCAAAGAAAAAAGTGACAAAATTGATTATGACTAGGGTCGCCCCTAGTCCAAAATTGAAATTGTATTTCCTACTTGGTTCTTTGCTCAAAAAAATTTTAAGGTGTTTTATTTGTATTTGTTTTAAGCACTAGAATATTTATGCAAAGTTTCAATCCATTTGGAAATACCCTCAAAGAAAAAAGTGACAAAATTGATTTTGACTAGGGTCGCCCCTAGTCCAAAATTGAAATTGTATTTCCTTCTTGGTTCTTTGCTCAAAAAAATTTTTGGATGTTTTATTGACATAATTCTGACATAAATCACATACCAATATTACTTTTTGTAATGCATAGCTTAAAAAAACGAAATCTAAAATTTCGTCTACCCCATCTGAATTTTGTTCATACTCTTCACTGTAACCAAAGGACCAAAAAACAAATTCTTTATCTTAAAACACTTGCAATATAGCGACATAATTCAGTATTAATTACTTTTCAATAATATTTTAACATTTACGAGAAAATGTGGTTCAAATAAGTGTGAAGTATGGCCGAGATTTGGACCAAAATCAGCTATACTGGTTCATAGTGTTCCCGAGGGTGACAAAATTCAAACTAAGTGTTTTTGTAGCTGACATAATTATGACATAAATTAGGTATATCTTTTGAACTGTGTCGATATGGGTCTCGGCCGTACTTCACGCCCACTCTTCAAACTTATGCTGAGCAAATCTTGGTCTATCCATAACGGTGTGAATATATCCGCATTGGGTTTCTACCCGATACACTAGTTTTCACTTTGTTCGGCTGCTCGTTTGGGCAAATGCATAATTCGCGAAAACAGATTATTAAACATAAGCTCGTCATTTAATACTTAACAGAATCAAGTTCGTCATAATAAGTTTATCCAAAACAAAATACACAAACACAAATTAAAGCACTAGCTTTAACTTCGATTTTTTTATTGAACTATTTAATCTACAGTCATAATTGATGGTTTTGACTTAACATATCTTAAAAGTCTCATTACAGTTGATGGAGTTATATGTGGTATTCGAGAAGCATCAGCTATAGAATGTGGTTGAATAATTTTCAATTTTTCTCGTTCCTCAAATGATAAGCATAGCGATTTTGAAGAGTAATCAATATCTTTAGGAATCAATAAAGCCTCGTCACGTTTAATTTCGGTAATTTCATTTTCTTGATTCTTAATGGCATTATCATAAACTGCTTCTATTTTGATTCTATTGCACAAATCCGGATCTTCTTTAATCCAATTTAAAGCTGTTATGTCAATATCGCAAATTTCCTCAACATATGGCGGTCCAATAATAGCTAAAACTTCAAAAGCACTTCTTGGCTGACTAGTTTTTGAATGCGACATATTAAGCTTAGTTCTCCAAGCATTTGAACCCATTTTCCAATCTTTAAGTATTTCTAGTGCATTTTTTAATTTCTCTCGTCTATCCTTCATATGTTGATATCTATATTCTGATACCAAACCAATTTTATATCCCTTTTCAGTAAGTCGAATGTCTGCATTGTCTGGTCTTAAAGTTAATCGAAATTCACTACGCGAAGTGAACATTCTATACGGCTCACCCATAGTTCCTAAAGTTACTAAATCATTAATTAAAACTCCTATATATCCTTCACTTCTATTGATGACAAGTTGTTCCTTATTTAATACTTTTCCAGCACCATTACAACCAGCGATGATACCTTGACTCGCAGCTTCCTCATATCCAGTTGTTCCATTAATTTGACCAGCTAGAAATAATCCTTCGACCTTTTTCGTCTCTAAAGTTTGATATAATTCTCTTGGATCCACATAGTCATAAGTTACACCGTATCCTGGTCTTACGATTTGAGCATTTTCAAGACCGACTAAATTTCTTACAAGCTTAAGTTGCAGATCTTCAGGCAACGTACAGCTTAATCCTTGTGGATAAATAATATCAGAATCGAATCCTTCTATCTCTAGCCATATTTGATGTGTTTTGTTTCCAAAACGTAGAATTTTACTTTCAATGCTTGGACAATATCGAGGACCAGTAACTTCTTCTGTCACGTGTCGATTTAAATGCAAATTATCTCTGACTATAGCATTAACACCTTCCGTTGTATAGCTCATCCACACACAAAGTTGATCTTCTGGCTTTATCCATACTTTATCATTAAGAAAACTAAAAGGAATCGGTGGATTATCACCAAAATGCTTCTCGAGATTGTCATAATTAATTGAACTAGCTAAAATTCTCGGTGGAGTTCCAGTTTTGAGTCTTGATAGCTTAAATCCAAGAGTTTCTAAACTTTTTGCTAATCCAATCGATGGCTCATCGCCAATTCTTCCTGCAGGCCTCACTTCTAAGCCTATATTTATTTGACCTCTTAAAAATGTTCCAGTTGTTACTATTACACTTTTGCAATTAACTGTTGTCTCATGTCCATCATTCAGTTTAAAAATTACTCCTTTAATTATTTTTCTTTCGGGATCATTAGGACTATCTTCATACACAATATCCTCTACAGATCCCTCGATTATCTTTAAATTCTTTATCCTATTCAGTTCCTCTTGAACTGCTTTTTTGTACAATTTCCTATCAATTTGAGCTCTTAAACCGAACACAGCTGGACCACGCCGTCTATTCAGTACTTTATATTGAGTACCGCTTACATCACAGCATCGTCCAGATATTCCATCTAAGGCATCAACTTCTCTCATCAAATGACCCTTGCCAATGCCTCCAAACGACGGATTACAAGACATTTCTCCAATCGTTGATTTTTTCTGTGTGATTAAAAGAGTTTTTGCTCCCATTCTCGATGATGCTGCACATGCTTCAGTTCCAGCATGTCCACCACCTTTAATAAAAATAATTTTTTATTTTGTCAACTTCCTAATTTTTAAATTCTTACCTATGACAACAACATCAAAGTAATTAGATGCACTGGAAAATGTTCGCAAGGAGTGACTAAATGCCTTCAAATACTTTATTTTATTAATCATTTTCGATTTCTTTAAATAACTTTAAAAAATCTTTTATTTTCTTTACTGAATTACAAATTAATCTTTTGAGTGTGTAGAACTCCAGCATTAACAACCACCGGATATTTATTTCTGTTTGTTTTACAATATTCCGAGACTGATGCATTTGATGATAAACAGTTTAATGACCGTAGATTTACATGTTATTCAAGTATTTAATAGGATGCTAATAAGGATCTGTAATTAGCTTGATTAAACTTAGTTCTTTGTGTATTTAGGGAGATATCATAGAGAAACTTAGAAATAAGACCAAATATGATGCTTAATGTGAATGAAAATTTCTAAAGCTTTTAACATTCATAAGTTGAAATCGCATCTTTCAAACCGATTCATAACTTAAGATCAAAGTCTTCCAAATTCATTTGGACATACCCAAATATGCCCGAAGAGAGATATTGTACGTAATGTTTCAATTTTGTAAAATAAGGCGAGATAAAATGAGTTTAAATGATTCAAAGGATCCGAAAATGCCATATTTTGCTAGTTGATTCGCCTTTACTTGCTGATCAAAGTTGAAGTCCCTCGACCAACAACAAAAGTACATTGAAAACTTTAACTACTCACTTTGAGCCGTACACGATGCATAACGTCTCTCATTGTAAAGTAAGCCTATTTCACCAAAGGATTCAGCACATCCAAGCAAGTTAACTGGCTCGTCAATGATCTCTTTGTCTGATTTAATGAATGTTAAACGAGTAACAACAACTTCACCGGATATTATGAAACTCATTGATTGTGATGCTTGACCTTCAAGATATAACTTCTTTCCTTTTGGATAGAAATAAAACTCCACAACATTTGCGAGCTTCTTACGGATTATCTGTAAGTATTGTTGGTATGATAAATTATTGTAATGTATAGGATGGTCTATTAATATTAAGGCTTAATCGATGGAATTTAAAAGGGGAATCCCAAGTTGAAGATAAGAGCTAATTTATGGTCAAATGACATCTAAGTGATATCTAGGAATTTCAACTTACTGGCATAAAAATTTGAAAACATGGAATTTTGTCGAAAAGCTTGTTTATGATGTCAACTTCTTCCTCAGTTCTCTTATTAACTGGCGTCTTCAAAATACTCTTTTCAAGCAATGTAATTCCAACCTTTTTATTCGATCGATTTAAGATAATTGCCACATTTTTCTTAACATCCTCGCCTATTTTTTCGTCAAGTTCTGATAGCCATTTCTTATTTAAGAAAGCCTTACGAACAGCTGTTTTAAACCTAAACCTTGCTTCTCGCTTACGTTTGATAATTTGCTCTTTTGTCAAGAAAACCATAATTAATTTTGTGAAATTTTATTGTCAATAAATTAAAGTAATAAATGATAAGACAATTTCTAAGTTTGCTATTTTAATTGCTTTTTAATAATAACTTAACCCCCCCCCCCCTTCTTTTCCTTAAAGCTAGATATCATTTACAAAGCACCCCTTTTCAATTAAAATGTTGATAAACTTCCGAGAAATCCACACTTAACACTAGCTACTGATAAGTATAAAAATACCTTTAAGTCTTTATTTTATTTATTTTATGAACATTGTATAATATTAGCACATAAGGTAATTTCTGGTGGTTGGCACTGCTTTGTGATGACATCAAAAAGAAAACCGTCTGGACATGTTCTTGGATGTTGTATTCCACGTAAACATTCAAAGTATCGTTCACATTCAGTTCTATGTGGAATATTTCCAACTCCAGATGGTGGACAAACAAAGATAATATCGACATTTTCACCACCTCCAGTTCGTGATGTCGTTGTTGTTATGATTCCTTGAGTCGTCGTACTTGTTGGAAGATCTACAGTAACATTTGTGTATGTTGTAGTTGTTGAAGGAATTGATTCCGTTGTGGTTGTTGTTCCTATGTCAGCTGGATCTACGCATCTAACAGAATATGGGTCAAATACCAAATTAGCTTCATCACATCCAAAAAGTGTTCCTCTTCCTTGAACACATCCAATAAATAAATTTCCGTCACTAGGATGTGGAATGGCATTAAATAATAATCCATCACATAGCTCATCAAAATTTAAATCGCCCATTTGATTGGATGTTTTGTAAGGTGGCACAAGAATTGCCAGTCCAATAAAAACTGATAAGAATATAAAGGTTTTGTTCATTGCAATGTTTTCACTTTAAGGTTCAATAAAAGACTGAATGGATTGTAAAATCAAAGGCCTTTATACGCACACAATTGGCCTTTAATCTTATCAATTTCTTTCATATCCTGTAATTTACCACTTTACTTGTGTTGCAAAAATTATCAAAGAGATTAGTAAATGCTGCTTCCCAAAACATTGCAATAAACTGATAAGTTTGTGACGGATATTTTTAAAAATATTTGTTTGTCATCAAGGTTTGAGAGTTGTGCAGAGTTGGGAGTCGTGGATTGAAGTTGATCAGTTAATAAAAGGCTTCAATGCTTGATTAGAAGTTCAACTTTAAGAATATTTCTTAAGAGTCGTATTACATCGACATTATTCAGTATGGGAATTAAGCAATCGACCTCTGTCTGAAATCTGATGCCCTCCTAATCATTTACAGAAGCACTTTACCCTCGCACTTCCGGAATAGCTTGCATATGACTCCATATTTTAGATTCAGCCTTGCTTCATCACTCCAATCTAGCCTAGACAGTAGATATATCCCAGGACACAATTTGGGGGAAATTCCAACTTCCTACTGATAGTCCATAAGATTATTACGCATTGGATTTTCCAGCAAAAACTTATCAGCTTAAAAATTTTGAATCTAGAGGATTCGAAAACAGAAGACTCGTTCTCAATGCGATAAGAAAATGCGCACATTGATTAAAATAATTTTATATCTATTATTTTCAATTCACTGCCGTCCAACTATAACTTTATTTTTTTGGTAGAAACTTCCCAGCTTAAATTTAATCGTACAACTTAGTCTAAGGATTATATTAAGTATAAAAATAAAGCTCTTAAATTCGACTCAGACAGTTATTCGACATGATGGAATGTTCGGACTGTATTATGAACTGCATTCTGTATATTTGGCACAAACAGAACTGACTGGATCACCACATTTCATAGAATTCACATCAAACACTTCTCCTTTAAGGCACGTCCTTAAGAATCTAATTCCATTATTACATTCAAAGTATCTGAGACAGTTCTGTAAATGTGGAAGATATCCATGACCAATTATCGGACACCTGTGCCAATCAGCACAATTGTGTATTTTTTCAGTTGTTGAATGTGAAGGCGGAGTTATTGAGTCACCATAATTACAATTCTGAACATTTTCAGGCACGTCGCACCATTCTTCTTCTTGATTCCATAAAAGTCCATCGACACATTCTCTTTCTATCTTACTTCCGTTCGAACAGACGAAATATTTCCTACAATCATTGAGATCAGGTAAAAATACAGGATTATTTAAATCATCAACTGGCGGGCATTTTGTTAAAGAATCTGGAGGTCCATCAATTGGATATTCACACTTTTCTGAATCTCCATGAGTGCATGCAAAGGCAGATGGATCAAAAATCGTATCAAATGGACATCTTTCTACTCTTGGATATCCATTTTGACAAATTATAAAATAGGAACAATCAGGTTCGTATGGCAAAAGACCAAACGGGATATCATCACAGATATTCGGATCCTTTAAATTCTGAGTCATTTGATGTAATGAAAATGCTTTGATAGATGTGAAATAGGAGGTAAGAAGAAATCCACCGATAATAATAAAATTCTGTTTAATTTGATCCATTTTTATTTTGAGGTTCGCTCGCTTCGACACTTTTGTTAGAACTGCACAAGAAGTTTTGTCTATTTTATTTATATTGTCATTTTTTTTTTATCAATCATGTCATAATGATAAGGATGATAAGATAAAATGAACGATAAATCCAAATTAATCCTCTAATGCAGCCAGCGAGGAATTTTCCTAGATTTCTTGCCATTATTATTACTTCGATATGAGCTGTATCCAATTACTGTTAAGAAGATTGCGATTATCGGTGATAAATTTATTTTTTTTTATATTCACACCGTTTTCACGTGTGAATCTATTGGTTTTGTTCAGATTTAAAAATCAGTTTTTCGCATTTTGTGAGAAAACAAAGCAAAATTGGTTATAAAAGGGCAAGAAGAAAAGTTTGTGCCTGAAATTTTACATCATTTTCAAAAAACAGATTTCAAATTGGTTGTGGCATTGCTGAGAAAATCGCAAAATACGCTTTCTGTAAGCAAACAAGCAAGCAAGCAAGTTAATCAGCAAGAAATCTCAATAACGAGACATTGTAGAGACTTCTAGTTTTTTACATTTGATCCGTGCTGATCTATAGAAGAGCTGTATTGTTTTTGGGCAAGGTAGGAACAGCCGTTGCTTCAGAAATGGCAAAAAACTTTCCTTTCTTACGAATTTTTTAAAACAAAAGTTGACTGTGATTTTTATAAAATTCAACTTTGGATGAAAATTTTTTTTAAAAAACTTTTAAAGAATATTTGGCATATTCGTCAAGCTTTATACCTTCAAACTTATGCTGAGTGTAGCTCAGCTGACTCGATAGCTTTATATCTTCAAACGTATGCTGAGCGTAGCTCAGCTTACGCGATAGCTTTATAACTTCAACTTATGCTGAGCGAAGCTCCACTGCCTCTCTAGCTTCATATCTTCAAACTTATGCTGAGCGTAGCTCAGCTGACACTCTAGCTTTATATCTTCAAACTTATGCTGAGCGTAGCTTAGCTTACGCGATAGCTTTATAACTTCAAACTTATGCTGAGCGAAGCTCCACTGCCTCTCTAGCTTCATATCTTCAAACTTATGCTGAGCGTAGCTCAGCTGACACTCTAGCTTTATATCTTCAAACTTATGCTGAGCGTAGCTCAGTTTACGCGATAGCTTTATAACTTCAAACTTATGCTGAGCGAAGCTCAGCTGCCTCTCTAGCTTCATATCTTCAAACTTATGCTGAGCGTAGCTCAGCTTACGCGATAGCTTTATAACTTCAAACTTATGCTGAGCGAAGCTCAGCTGCCTCTCTAGCTTCATATCTTCAAACTTATGCTGAGCATAGCTCAGCTTACGCGATAGCTTTATAACTTCAAACTTATGCTGAGCGAAGCTTAGTTGACTTATCAAGCTTCATACCTTCATACTTATGATGGGCAAATCTTGGTCTATCCATAAGACTTATGATAGTACGGTGTGAATATAATCCGCATTGGATTTCTACCCGATACACTAGTTTGTGAATCAAGTTACGTTTCTGCTGATAATGCGATCTTTAATCTCCATGGGATAATGTGAAGAATTTTATAGTATGAAATGTAAACAAAATTCAATAGAAATATTTGATTCACAATAAGAAGTAAGTTAGAATTGGAATATCAGGCAAGAATAATTTATTTCTTTAGCATATTGATAATTCTAAATCTACATCCTTTACAACATATTAAGTAAGCATATGTAAACATTTGTAAACTGAAGTGGCTCGGTGACGGAATGGTTAAGTACTTCGGTACCTAATTATTGCAGTACTGACAAAGCGACCATGAGTTCGAGACTCGGCATGAAAAATGTTCTTTTGTCCATTTTCGAATCATATGTACTGGAAATGAGACTCACAGCGATCCTTTGTAGGCTACAGGCAGAAATGTCATCAGAGAAGTGGTTCGGATCCCAATATACATTGTAGCTCTTGGTTTGAGCGGGTGGTCATTTATTTCAGGAAGCTGATATTGCTACAGTTCTCCGTGTAAATCGCTCGAGATAGGCTGGACATGTGTTCAGACGCTCACAAGATGCCTCCGTACTAAAAGTGACAGTAGCAAGCTTTATGGATGGCAAGAGATCACGAGGAAGACCGAAGATCTCGTGGATTGTATGTGTTGAAAAGAACGCTAGAGTCCTTAATATCCCGAACTGGCAGCAGGTCTTCAAGGGTAGAGACGATCTCTGAACGCGGCAATAGGATGTAAGTGAGTAAGTAATCAGTTTCGTACTACTTGAGTTTTCAGAAAATCGTTATTTCACCATAATTAGACTGAAACGCTGTTATCAAATTTAATCGATTTCATTTAAATGATAAAATTTAAAAGTCAGACTAAGATTTGATTAAATCTCAATATATAAAAGCTTTAATCTTCCTTAAATAAAATCAGTTTGCATTTTAATTTGAAGAAGTAAGAATCAATTGAAATAGGAAAAAAAAATGAATTTCTTAATTATTTTATCAATTGGAATGACTTTATCAGTCTTTGGTAAGAATAATGTTGTATGCTGATCAAATCAGTATGACTGGAGTTTGGGTATCATAGAATGGATCAAAAGTGGGTGTCCCCGCCAATGCAGTTGTTGGTGGATTCGATCAGGATGGTCCATACTGAACTGTTGTAGGAAAATATTCACCGAGATCGAATTATGCTCACTATCCTTATTATAATGAAGAACATAGAGCATCTTCATTTGAGGTTAGTTCTGGTTCTGGTTTCGAAATTTATGGAATTTTAACTTATTATTAAAATATCTTAAAGCTCTTAACTCATTCAAACTATGTATGGGTTAGCAAGACTAATCCTCGTCCTCTAATCAACGGTGGAAATGCTCAATATATGTGCAATGCGTGGTACGGAGATTTTAAAATTCCTGGAAAATATCACAGAGACAGTTGTTGGATACCTTATGGTGGAAAAGAACATCAATATAAATATAATTTTAATGTTTTAAAGAGAGCTTAAATGTTCTAAGAAGTAGATCGAAATAAATGTAAATCATTTACAAATAAACTTTATATCAAAGACCTTAATTTCATCATAATATCCAGAACTTCCAAGATATTCATTTAGTTAAAGACAGGGGCGTAGCCAGGGGGGGGGGGCATAGGGGGCCCGCCCCCCCCCCCCCCCCCCCACGAAAATCGGATAATTGTTTTATTAAGTATTTATAGAGAAGAACCAGTTGATGTAGAGGAAGTGATGAAAGAAATGTCAAAATCAGCACGAAAAATTAAATTTAATGTATGAATAATGAATTAAATATTTAAACTTATAAAGAATGAATATAGATTTAAGGATACAAAATAACGGTTTTTTAATTTTCGAAAATGGGCCCCCCCTTAAAAATTTTCTGGCTACGCCCCTGGTTAAAGATATGTTATCAAAATCATGTTAGGGGCCGTTCACTTATTATGTTCGCATTTTAGGGGGGAAGGGGGGTTTGAAAAATTGTAACAAAATGTAACATAGGGGGTGGGGGGCGGTTTCAAGAAGTATGTAACGTTCAAAATATCGTCTGTCTTTTAAAAAAAAGTTCACGAAAAAAATTTGTTTACAAATTCACACCAAAAACATTTTTTTTTTTAAATTTTCCACCTTTTTAATGATTTACAAATGTCCAGATCTCTTTTGATAGCTAACCCGAGCGACAATTTGTGGCAGTGGCAGTTCTGAGACTGCCACCACACTGCCTTGAAAAGATTAAAGCAGTTGTAAGGCAGTTTTACTTGTAACTGCCTTGTAACTGACTTATAGGCGCCATGTGACTACCTTGCGATTAAAATGCGACTGCCTTGTGATTATCATGTGACTACCTTGCGATTACCAAGTAACTGCCTTGTGACTGCCATGTGGCTGCTACAATAACAATAGAGTAGAACAAAAGAATTTTTTCATTGTTACATCATTTGTATCATATCGTTTAACGTGTTAGGTTCGTCAGTTAATTAAATAATTAAAAAGAGTCAATTAAAAGTGCTGTTTGGACTTGAAATATTACAAGAGACGTCGATATGGAAGCCATCAGTGATGTAAGTAATTCTAAAGTGCTTAAATTATTGTAAAAATAAGAATTTTTCCAGTTAAAAGCACGCAACTAATCGATTTTGTTGAGCATAAGCTAAGTTTATTTGACAATCAAGCAAATTTTGATCCTGAATTTGAGAAACAGCGTTGTAATAATAATAGTTGTAACTTGGTATGTATTATTATATATTTCTATTTTAGCATAGCTTAACAATTCGATTGTTATTTTAGGTGGGTTATCTATCAAAACGCATGGTAAATGATAATGCAAAAGGTGACCCGAAAAATGGGCTAGCGATCTCTCTACTAAAGCTGTATTTTTCTTCAGACTTCTTTTTATCAGATGTTGGATGGCCCAATTATGATGGTATTATTAATTGATTTCATTTTAAAGATACTTTTATAATGAAATATTTTTTTCTTGATTTCCTTTTCAGGTCGTGTTGAGATTCGTAACAATCTCGGACATATTTCTCTTTTGACGTCATTAAAGCACACACCGAAGGAATTTACATCAATTTAGATGATGCAAAAAAATTTATTCAATACGCAATCCGCTTTTTTTCATGAAGACCACAATGAAATTGTTCGTAAAATGAAGAAGGCTGATTCAAAAGCTAACGAAAAAGTTTAATATTGATATTTCTTATCTTAATTTGTTTTTGATTATAAAAAATTGTAATAAACTCCTAACTGAAATCCAGATTTTGAATTTTGATTTATTTTTGTAATTTTATTTCAGATTTGTCAAGGCAATTTTGTGGCAGTATTAAGGCATTGTTGTATGTCGATCATACAGCTGTCGTGTGAGTGCCACCTCGTCAACTTCAAGGCGATTACAAGGCAAGTCGGTTACAAGTCAGTGGCAGTTTCAAGACAGCCTTGCGCGCGGAAATATGGAGGTCAGGAGTTGCCATCAAGGCAATAAGGCAGTCGTATGACGATTATCGATCTGCCTTGACTTAAGGCAGTTGGCAGTAGGCAACGACTTATGACCACCTTATGGCTGCAATAAAGCGGATAAATGTCGCTCGGGTAAGCAATACATAGTTTTTGTAACAAATCAATAGAAAATTAAATCAATCATAAGTTTAAAAATAAATCTCACTAAATCTGTCATTCATATGATGATTAATATGATCCCATCATTGTGATATTTACATTCAAAATTGATTGAATTTTCCAAAATTCGATCGGGCATAATATTTTTGAATTTTCTTCAAAAAAAAAACAAATTTTTGCTTTATATCTCAATCCAATAATTCATGAGAATACTAATAGTATCAATCAAAACATGACCTATTTAGCTGTACAGTATTTTGATGTTTAAGAAAAAAAAATACAAAAGAAATTTAACCGTCTTTTTAGAATAACAAATTATCAAAATAAAATAAATTATGAACGTTCAGGGGGGGGGGGGGGGGTTGTGAGTTGTAACATATTGTAACAAGGGGGAGGGGGTTGAAAAAAGTCGTTGTTTTGCGTAACGTAATAAGTGAACGGCCTCTTATGTAAATCTATTTTTTAAAGAACCGTTAAATCTGAGATATTTAAATTCTTAACACAGATCTAATCAAGATTTAAATGTTTCATTTTATTAGGATTGTAATAAAGATTATTTTCATATAACAGTTAAACATCTTGTGTGGCTACTTCATTCAAATGTTCGTGTTTAAAGTCATAAGTTGCCAATTAATATGAAAAAAATATAATTTTTCAGTAAATAATAATTATCATAACTTGATACCATAATAATTTACGAGATAAATGTTCCTTTATATACTTTCTAATCGTCTTCATTTGAATGGAATTTTTAATTCTATCTTGCTACATCAAGATATGTAGTGCCTTAAAATGATGACTTGATGATCATATCGTAAGCAGTAAAGATCATTGGAGCAACTTCAACAGATCGTGACTTTAAACTGAGTGTGCCTTCGCTACTTCCAGGTGTCAATTTTAATTCAAGCAATGCCCAAACATTATTTTCAAGTTTGAGTGACTGATATAGCATGTCCTGTCCTTCAACATTTCTCTTAGCAATTGTAAAGACGTTATTTGCCGTCATTTTAGCCGCAATTGCATCAGCATTGCCAACAATTCCACTCAATGTATATTGGACCTCATTTGCTGCTGGAATTTCCTTCCATGTTGATAAGAAAACTCTCTTGTCCAATTGTCCATCCTCTGTGAAAAGTGTATGTCCATGCACTAAGCATGCAAAGTAGAAAACATCAACATTATTTTTAATAGCAATTTGAAGATTATTAATTGGTTCCATTCGCATAATTGGACCAGAAATGCTTAATTTTAATGATACTTCAGCAGTTTGTCCTGGTGGTAAGCTAGGAACTTGTAGTGGTGCGCCGGGAACCATACCAAATGTATTTTTATTCAATTGAATTGCAAATGCACTCATAGCTTGCATAGCTTTATTTGTGAATGTCATATCCATATAAACTCCACTTCCTCGTCTTGCAAATGTTCCTTGAATCTCAAGTCCTTTGCCTTTTTCTGCGGGTAGCCATGTGATTTTAGGGATTGCAATCATTGTAGTTGTTTGGGTTGTTATTCCAAATATATCACCAAGTAATCCATTTCCTGTATTTTGAACGGCTGGTGTTGTTTCGACTGCAGGTGGTCCACCTAATAGAATATCTAATCCTCCGCCAAGAAGATCAACATTACTTTGAGGTGGTTGAGATACATTTGAGGCAGCAACAGGAGCACCAATATCCATCGACAATAAATCACCAATTAATGATTCTTGATTTGGAATGACTGTTGCTGATTCTGATGTCGTGGCTTCATCATTTGTATGAGCGATTGTACGATTTGGTAGTGACTTTCTAACACCAGCTGATCTTCCCTCAACAAATGCTGTTGGTGGCTTATGATAGACACTAGCCAATGATGCAATATGACAAATCAATTCATCTAATAATGTTGGTTCCAATAAATCAGTTTCTTCTGAAATTAAAGGCTTATCAGCCAAAACCACTTCCTTTGCAGCTGCTGGATCTGTTGACAATAAACGCCAGTAAATAAATCCACGATCTCTCAAATCAGGATTGTCACTATCTTGAGTTGCAAGTGACAAAACATGCTGAACAAGTTCTTGCGTATCAGCTGGACGTTTCAAGAACAATTTGACAACAGCTGTCAATAATTGCAATTGGACTTGAGCATTTTCATCTTGGAATCCTTCCAAGAAACTATCAAGTAGCTCATCAGCATTATCAATACGCTCAGCATATTCACCAATAATCCACACCATTGATGCACGAGCTTCTGGCTCATCCAGAGTATCCAAATTTTCACACAATGTGCTAATGATGCTCTCATACTTATTAGGATATTTTCTGGAAAATTAATTTAACTCATTAGCACTCATTAGTATGAAAATTTTGAAAAGGAATTTTAATATTAATGAATGGTTTTTTGAAATTTGAATTTTAACGACTTTCAAAATTTTAAACTTTCGCATCTTTTTGGTATCAATTTTTAAATTTTACAAAAACCGTTAAATATTTGAATTTTACAAAAACGTTGGAAATCTCACCTGAAAATATCCTTGATGACAACAATAGCTTCCTGAACGACATAGTTGACTTTTGTCTGAATCAGTTCAAGTAATGTGGATACACATCTCTCAGCAGATGGCTCAACTTTGATTGCACAACGTCCAATAGCTCTGACTGCTTTACGAACAAAATCAACATCAACTTCCGTTGCGTATTCCTTCAATTCGCTCAAAACTTGTGCAATATTGCTCTGATTAGCCAATCGAATCATAATATCCAATTTCTCAAGCTTGACATAGATTGGATCATTGTATTTAACAAAGAATACTTTCATTTCATGTTTCAGAATGTCTGGACGTTTTTGGACAATCAAATTAATGTTTCTTAATGCAACATACTGAACTTCTGGCTCCGATGACAATAAAGTAACAAGTGGCGGTGCCAATTTCTTTGTTAAAGTTGCACAAAAGTCACTGTCAGATGAAAGAATTTCCAATAATTTCATGAGCACTTTAATAGCACTCAAAACGACAGCAGCATTAGCATGAGCAAGACGTGGTGTAATACGTTCACAAATTGATTGAGCTTCACGTTCATCTTTTGGCGTATAGTTTGCCAATGAATCCAGGATGAAAACTTGACCCCATTCTGTACATTCATTAAGAGCAGTCAAGAGCTTATTAATTGTTGCTGAATTTAATTCAACTAATGGCTGTCCAGAAGCCGACGATTCATTGATTTCACTTAAAGCAGCTACAGCATTAGCAACAACCATTGGATTCGAGTCCGACAATAAATCCTTTAATTGATCCAAAAATCCTTGATCCTCAACCATTGAGCTTGAAATGTCATACAATTTGGCAACGCATACAGCAGCTGTTTTACGTACATATGGATCTTCATCTTTCAAACATTTTCTCAATGGCTCGCACAAATACTCTGTAATTTTATCAACACGAATACATCCCATTGTTCGAACGGCTAATGCTCTTATCAACGGATTTGAATCTTCGCAGTCCTACAAAAGTTGTGTGAGAATTGCATTACAATTGTTATTCATGGTGCTGATAAAGTTTTAGGAACAAAATATTGCGTGAAATATATAAATGAAATGTTATGTGCTTAATATGATTCAACTTTTAATTTTTTGGGGATTTAATTGCCAATTTTAATAAAAATTTTTTATTCATGAAATGCGAATAAAATTAAAGGAACTAAGTAGTAGCTAGCTTAGTGCATTTTTCATTGGATTGGATTTAGAAATTTTTAATCCAACTTTTTAATCCTAGGATTTATACTTAATCGGGTTTTATAACACTAGGATTCAAATATTTTCGAACCGTTTCTATTTTAAATAATTTTTGACAGTTATTTTCTACGGTGTTAAATTTCTAAAGCTCAATCCTGCTCAATCCAATGTCGAATGTACTAAAAGACCTACATGGCATTTTAAGCATGATAAATTTGTAAGCATTGTAGCTGATACATTTTTACCTTCATCAATTGAGAATGTGGCAAATCCTTACAATTGCAATTGGAATATATACATAAAAGTTATGAATTTATGACTGTAACTTAATGTCTACAGTAATTATGTTAGGAATCTACGAATATCTCACATAACATGTCAGTTATATCCTCAAAATAAATCAAATCAATTAATTGCTCACCTTAACGAAGGTGTTGACAGCCATGATTGCCATGTCAGGCTGTGATTTAGCATAATTCATCAAATACAGATAGACCAACTTCTTCAGTTCCAAATTATCAGTCTGCATGCAATTTACAACATCCGGGAAGAGTGCTGACACGTCTTTTCCAACAGTCATACTTGCTATGACCTTCTTAACTGCTTCCTTCTTCTTCTCCTTCTTATCACTATTAAGCTCTGACTTGAGCTCAAAGATCTCACCCTTTTTGGTGGTCGTAAAGTATTTTGAGTCAGTCATTCCGTGATTCGGTTCAAATGCTCGAATTCTGAAATAAAATATTAATGCGAGATAATTTAAATTGTATAACATGACCACAATTGTGTTTAAATTAACTGAATTGGCGCAATAGGAATCATTTTTGATATGTCTGTTATTTCGTTCTGGATGTTGATAACTCCAAATTATTCAACTGGATCTCAAAAAATCGATAATTTTTTTCTCTTTCGCAAATTTAAACTTATTTCGTAATAAGGCAACCGATTAATTGCATCTAATGCTGTTTACTACTTTAACGAATGCATATTCACCATAAGCTCGATGATTTAAATTTAGAATTCACGATTTTCATTACTTTAACTTCGTCATTAATTTCTCCTCCCATTGAAATTTTGTTGGTGGTTCTTTTTGGCTAAACTAGCTTTACTTTTATCATGCAAACTTAATGAAGGCATGCAGTGTTACTTACATCAACGATATAAACTGGTTTTATTAATTAATAAATGCAATTAATACAGAAAAATACAATTTTTAAAGGTTTTTTGGAATGATTCACAGAGATAACAAAATTTCAAAAGCGACCTCAAGCGGCCAATACACAAACTTTATGCTGCAAACTGAGCTATTTTGAAAAACTTTGTTTTCTTACTTTAACGTATTTCTGAAATTCAAATTTATTTCGCATCTTTTTTGACAATTTGAAATCTGAAACATCCGTTAAAATTTTAAAAGCCTGTTCTTTGCTGTAAATCTTTATTTTCTCCTAGATCATTGATTAAATGCTTAACATCACATCATGAAAAAGATTTAGTTTAGTAATTTTCAATAGTTTTACATGAATTTCGTAAAAAAAAAATAAAGGTTTAACCAAAATTATAATAATAATGAGTAGAAAATTAATTATTCGGTGCTACTCCAATATATTACTACCTATATTAGATATATTGAGTATGTTATATTATTGTTTTCTTTTCTAAATTATATTACTGCGAGAGATTTGTACTTCATAATCATCAGATCTCATTCATTCATTCATCCATCCAATTAATATTCTTAAAAGATAACTTAATCAATCTAACAGTACGCTTGTTGATTCCTTAAGTGTAATACTTTGACTAATTCGGTCAGCAATTGATTGCATATTTTCCGACTTTTGATTTTCCGGCTCTTGATCATCATTATTTTGTTTTGCTGATTCTATGTCCATTTCATCATCCTTAATAATATCACTGATCTTGTTATTTGGTTCTTCTTCATTATCATCGCAGTCATCGAGTGTTAGGTCAATTTTAGGCGGTGACTCATAAATTTCCAAGCTTGATTCAGAGTCTTTTTTTTCAACTTCAATTTCTGGAAGTTTCTTGTCACTTTGAATGTTTAAATCCTTTTCCTTAATAGTTTTATCACTTTTCTGGATGTCTTCATCACTTTTTACTACTTCTGGATCATTTATAGTCTTTTTACTTTGCAAGAATTTTGAAAAACTGTCATGGAAATTTGAGTCCACTTTGCGAACGTTTGCGTCTTCCTTAATGTCGTTTACATCATTGTTTGGGGTTTCTGCATCACTTTTCAAGCCGTTTGCTTCCTTTTTGACAGTTTCTGCCGTTTCTATTCCATTATCAGGAGACTCGTTGACATCCATTTCATCACTAGTATCAAGGACAACAGATTCAGTTTTTCCATCTTCATGAAAGTAGCATTCTTGCTGGTAATCCATTAATTCTTGAGTCGTAACTCTTTCGACATTAGCTTCAATATATTCTTCGTCTCGAGTAATATTATGGACAGCATCCTGATTTTCAAGCATCGCATTACCATTTTGAAGAATATTATTGCTATCGAGGCAATTAAAATCGTTGTTATTATTGAAGTTTTCGTCATTATTGTTGGCGTTATTGTTATTTCCGTTAATGCCATTTCCATTTTCTGGAACACGAAATGTATCATCCATATTTTCATTATTATTATTGTTATTGTTATTCTCAACACTACTATCAAGATCAACATATTGCACAATTTTTGAGGATTTTCTCTTTCGATCACCATAAAATCGGATTTTTGGAAGTTCCACGTGATTGTTGTTTGCTTCCATCACATTTTTAATTACTTCTGCAAGTTCACGTCGCTTTGAGCTACGAACTTCTTCGGATAAGAACCAGTCTAGAAGATCAATCGGAAATCTGAAGTCTTCAATGGGCGAGGTAACAAAAAACCGTTCCATAAATTCCAGAATAAAGCATCCACAGTCTACGTTGTTCATTTGAAGAGGAACCTGAAATTAAAATGTGAAAGATTACGGTGAATTTTCAAAAATAAAATAAACGTTAAAGAACGGTATAAAAATAGCAACTACCTTTGGCGAGTGTCCATTCAAGCATTTAACATCAAAATGGAATTCCTGTTGATACTTATTCATCCATTCATATTCGAGGAAATTCTTGATATGATTAATAGCCACAGTTCGTCGAGATCCATTTCCTTTGACTGAATCAAAAATGAGAATGCACGAGGACTTAATTGGAGGTTGATAAATCTTTTTAGGATTGCGTTTGATGTCATTTTCATCAATTTTAACATTCCCATCAATTGTGTAGCTTCCGTTGAGTTTTGGGAAGCAAACAATAGCGAGGAACCAATGATTATGATCCATTAAAGGCATAATAATGTAATCTTTCTCAAAAATATTCACATCATTCTTTAAAATACCATCAATTCGTCGATAACGCTTCTCTTTAGCATTAAGACCATAATTTAATCCATCATTCCAACCAGAATATTCGGACGGAGTTGCGTATAACGTATAAAAGTGTGTTCCTATAATTAAAGTCTTTTCTCTCTGTTCTTGTGTCATTTTTACATTGTAGATATAGTGAAGATAAAAGTCAATAATTACGTCGCTAAGATATTCATTGCGCGAAAGGCATAAATAGTCTTCCATTCTAACAATGATGTCTCCATTGCTTGTACTATACGTAAATAATTCAATTGTTTTATCTACATTGTCATAAATCTCATCATGTTCCAAATCCTTTTCTGATTTTTGATCCTCAATGTGGCTCAAACTTTCAATGACTATCGGATCGACACCTTTTAGCGATCTTTTTAAAGCCTCTTGCAATTGTGCATCTTCTGACATTTCTTCACATAAATTTACTTCATCACGATTCCTGACTCTCAAACTACGTTTTGGAGTTGCTTCTTCAATCACTTCACAGTCAGCATTAACTTTTGAGAAGCTCTGCTTTCGTGGACGTTTTTGTGGATGATAATCTTGTGATCCATCTTCAGGATCTAGATCTAGTAACTTCTTTTTACGTGGTTTAAACAAATTTGGCTTGTGATTCTTTGAGCTTTGCTGTTGTTGTGGTTCTGGTTCCTTCATTATCTTGGCTACATTCTCATCAAACACATCTATCGATCTAAAAAATAATATTCATTAACTGGATGTTTAATTAAAGAAGAATTTGATAAACTTACGAGAAAAACTTTTCAATGAATGAAATATCATCACTAGATATGTCATTAAGGTAGATCTGGAACTTTGCTTCCTCCGAGTTCTTGCTAATCTGGAAGTAAAAGCCTAAAAACAAAGGAATTGAAGAAGTGGTTCAAGAAAGAATTTAATCAACTATTTACCACTTCGACGAATAAGATCGCCAATAGTTTTGATTGTTGCTGGTTTAAGTTTAAAGTCTAGTATCATTTGATTATCAGCAAGAGTTTTGAAGATCTTTCTGACATCACAAATGTTTATCGGGAACTTAATCTGTTCATTTTGTTCGGATCGGAAGTTTAATTGAAAAGCCAGCTCAGTTTTGGAACATTGAAGCTTAAATTGAATAATTAAGATTTAAGAAAAAGTTAAAATAATTGTATTTTGTTCATTACAAGTCCTTCACAATCAGCAGATATCAATGTTCCAAGTACAATACTATCAAAGTTAATTTCTCTATAAACTGCAATGAAAATTTTATTTTTTACAATTTTTCCTATTAATTTATTAATTTTTATGAATTTTACCCATGTTATCCATTGCTGAACTACATTAGCTACTAGCTACCATTTAGATATATCTATTAAGCGATTAGAAAGTTAATTAATTTTAATAAATTCAATATTTTTCGCGTTTTTTCTTTTGATAATTTTTAACAACAATGCAATGCATGAAATTTGCAAGAGAAAGTAACTTCCCACAGTTTTTTAATCTGGATCTTTTATTTCTATGAATATTCACTTCTACAAGCCGCTGTCTTAATCGAATTATCTTAAATTATTTGATAATTGATTTGAATAGGTTTTAATTACATTAACTTCAGGAGAAATACCGAATTTTGATCATTTTAATTTTTTATAAAGTTTTTCGTGCGTTCACACCCCTTGAAAATTTTCAAAATTTTGTTTAACCGTTATGAAATAACTTACGAAATTAATCATTTTCTAGTGAATCTATTGAGTTTATTTGACGTAGAATGGTGAAATCATTAATTGAAAACTGAATAATACAATTTGTAACTGTGATACAAGATGAATAAGAAATGTCTAGTTACTTTGTAGGAAGTGGATTTTCCACCATGCATTAGGAATTTCAGGATTTATGCATGATTCATCATAAGAATCATGATGATAAGAAAGAAAGACAGCCTTATCAGTCTTTCGTTTATGAAACGTTTTTTTTTTGTTAAAACTATACACCCCCCCCCCCCCCAAATTCTGTCCAAAATTGTCACAATTCTCCAGACCTCCTCAGGCGTCATTTATGAGTAGATAAGAACCTAATAATACAGTTAAATCTTCAAAATAGTTCAAAAACTGTGCCACAAGCTGAAATGAATTGTGTGCGGCTCTTCGTACCACCTTCCTTAAAGTCTTCCTCTCTAGGTGCATGCAGAATTTAAATATTTGTTGTTAAGCGTTATGAATCTCACACGATTCAAAACGTCGCTCAGCAGGAAATTTCATCTAAGGAATTTACTTGACAAATTGAGAATCAATGATTAAGGCACGAAAATATATCTTTTATAAATGATTTTTTTTTATTTCAGAAAAAAGTTGTATTGTATTATATATCGCGCCGTAATTCATCTTTTATTTACTTTTTTTATTTAAATATAGGAGATAAAGGATAAATAATTATTAAATAGGTATCATTATTATTTATCGGTATCAGAATATTACTTATTTTTTGTTGAATTCTTTTTTTCTTATATTGTGTTACTTTACTTCCTTTTTTGTTTTTTACTTTAATAACATTATGAAAATTTCGAAGAATTTCTTTAATTATGTTTTTTTAATCATAGAACGAATTATTTTAAAGCAATAATGTGTGTGTGTATGTGTGTTTATATACGTTGAATAGCTATTGAAATATGCGTTCTGTGCAAAAAGCGATGCAGCATTTAGGTATTTCTTTAATAATTTCAGATTTTCTTTCTTTCTTCCTACTCGTTATTATATAAAAATTATATCCATCATTATTATTCTTTCATTTTTATTGTTGTTTGTTGTTGAAATGTCACCAAAAATTCTGGGTACAAGTTTGTGTGTATTTATTCTGCAGGCATGATGCGATCTGCTGTGTTGAATGACAAGCCAAACAAATGACCTGAGTATTTATCGTTATCAATGTTATCCTCGAAGAACATCTGTAATTAAAGATCCCAGATTAGAAAACTTATTTGCAACATATTAACTTAAAATTTCTTACTTCTCGCATTTTGAAGAAGGCCATGCCAGTAAGCAAAGAATCCGAGCCAGCTTGATGTTGCGGACCGATTCTTCTAATATCAAGTTGTTCAGCAACTTCTTGTAATCCACCTAAAAGCACAACAATTTAAATAAAATACTATTACATTTTTAACGGTTATTTTAGATTTGAATTTTCAGTTTTTAAAACTGTACAACAGTTATTTTTAAGGTTCAAAACCATACAACAGATAACTTAATTGAGAACCACACAACATAATTTTGAAGAACCATACAAATTATTGTCGTTAAAACAATTGTATGGTTTTAAAAAGCATTTTTATAGGATAGGGGCCATTCACTTATTACGTAACGCTTTTAGGGGGGGAGGGGTGTCTAAGATTTTGTTACGGTTCAAACAAGGAAATTTTTTTTTCATACAAATTTTGTTACGAGGGGGGGGGGGTCTAAAAAGTCATTTTTTCGCGTTACGTAATAAGTGAACAGCCCCATAGTTAAAATTCAAAATTTCAAATCGCCCTAAGCTTTACCAAAACTTTCGAATTTTGAAATAGAAGTTAAAACAGTAATTCTATAAACATTTAACCCAAAAAAAACAATCAGCACCCACCTTTAAGATTCTTACAAGACTTCATCAAATACTTGACGTCGTAGATCGTAGGAAAATAGATTCGCAATAGTTCAAAGAATTCACTTTCATCGGCTGGCAAATTTTGATCAGTAAGAACTTTCAAGAGATATCCAAAATCGTATCCAGAATGGAAGCTTAACCATTTAATGTTATCCATTAAAACGATTCCGGACGTCATGAGAAGTTCAGCAAAATCGATTGGATCAATGCCATCTTCTTCGTGCTTCTTAAATTGAATGCCTGAATTTTGCAGCAAATCGATTGAATCTTGCGCGTACATGTCCTCGCTAAAATCACATTAATTAATTTATAACAAAGAAATTCCAATTTTGTGCAATAAGAAGCAATCACTCACGTTAGACTGAATTTGAAATTAAATTGAAATGTTGAGAATTCGGGTGCTGTATTTCCGTCTTCATCCATGAATGTTAATCCAAGCTGAATAATTTTAAGGAGATCCACATTGCATCGTAATAACTGATATTGGTAATCGGCAGTTGATCGAAACTCACCGATAGGCCGTGCAACAACTCCTAAAAATGTCGAAATATGAGTCAATATGAGGAAAAATAAGAAGAAGACATGACCAAAAACTCACCGGGAAATTCAGTGTCCATTGCTACATAACAAAATTTATTAACAATCTTACGGATGAGAACAAATTCATCTTCAAGATTATGGCGCCAGACTTCTCGTATGCCACATTCTTGATTTATATCATCCGATTGATGAGTAAGTCCTGTAGAGTTTGATGATCCGGAGTTTACTACGGCAGACGGCATTATTAAAACTTTGTCGCTGTTTTGGTCTATCCTTTCAGGACTTGCTATAAGAAACAAGACAATATCGAATTATTGGATTAATGCATGTGAATGGCATTGAAGAAAAGTGCTCATTGATATGAGAAATCAATAAATAGACTCATTCGGATGTAAATAAAAAAAAAATCCCGAGACCTTGCTCATTGAAATGCTTATCCTCTTTTTCAGCCACACTTAATAGTATATTTTCGTTAGAACAATAACTAATGAGTTATTGGTTTACTAAAAGGAAGTAAAGATCTATGAGAAGATTAATTAATTTAAGAACTTTTTTTTCAACAAATCGAATGAATGAAAAATGAAAATTAAAACACTCACGAAAGTATACTTTTTCCCTTTCTGCAAGTTAAATACAACTGCAGTTACGGCTTCTTTGTATTCTTAATAACCGTTGCACAATACTCGAACTCGCGAATACTTTTTGTGCCTCAACAAACACAATTTATTGCTTGATTAATTTATATTCTGCTTTCAATGAATTTTTAACGCATTACTTAAACAAATGTAAACAAAGAATATAACGGTTTACTTGATTTTGAAATAATACGCACAAAAATTTTGAACTTCTTTAAGTTTAAATAATATCAATCCGTTATTTAAGTAAACAATAAATTCATTGTGCTTTTAAATTTTAATTAATTATACTAGTAAAACGAGTGATAATAGTATTAAACGGATAACAAACAATTTAAAAATAAGACAGCACATTCCAATAACATCTTAATTTGCCCTATTTTGGCGGTATAATATTGTTTTTTGAAGAAAAGTGTGAGCTCAAAATAAAATTAATTAAAGTGTATGTTTAATAGTCGTTGTCATGTCACATAAAGCTAAAGCATCTCCAAAACCATCGCCAAAGAACACGTTGTTCAACTATTTCGCAAGAAATTCATTAAATACATCCCAAAATGTCGAGAAAACAGCAGAAAAGGAATCGCCGGTTGTTAAGAAGGAAGTTCAAGGGAATTTGACTGGAAAGAAGCTTGATTTCGGTAAGTAGTAAGATGTAGTAATTGTCAGATGTGATATCAAATTAATGACATTCTAAATAAAGGAAAACGAGGCAATTCAAGTGACGAAGAAGACACAAAAGTCAATAAATCTTCGAAGAAACGTAAAATCATTGATTCCGATGATGAAGATACAGAAAACAGCGACAGCAACACTAAGAAGGAAGTCACTCAAGCATCTAAGAAACGTTTAATTGACTCAGACGATGAAATGCCACCACCAAAAAATCCAATATCGAGACTTGCTAAATTTTCTGAAGATGCAGCACCAGAAAGTCCGTCAAGCAAAAAATGTAAATCAGAAAAACAAGATCTAACAAAGTTGGTTCCAAAAAATGAGCCAGAAGATGAAGATGATGAAAGCCAAGGATTTTCACTTGATACTGAACAAAAGATTTATACTCACGAAAGTTTTGAGTTCTTACAGCCTGAAAACATCAGAGACATGAATAAGAACCGTCCAAATCATCCAAATTATGATCCAAGAACATTACACATTCCAGAAAGCTTCTTAAAGCAACAAACTCCAGGACATCTCCAATGGTGGAAACTTAAAGCTCAGTATTACGACTGCATTTTCTTCTTCAAAGTCGGCAAGTTTTATGAATTGTATCATCAAGATGCAGTGACTGGAGTTAAGGAACTCGGATTGACATTCATGAAAGGAGATTATGCTCATTCAGGCTTTCCAGAAACAGCATATGATAAAATGTCATCAACACTTGTTGAGCGTGGATATAAAGTAGCTCGTATAGAGCAAGTTGAAACACCAGCAATGATGGAAAAGCGTTGTGAAGCTGAAAATAAGCGCACCAAGTTCGATAAAGTCGTTAAACGTGAAATCTGTCAAGTCACTAATGTGGGAATGCAAAATAATGCTACTGGATTATTCTCAATGGCTAAAAGTCAATTTTCAGCAAATCCAAACTTTTTGTTGTGCATTGCTGAGAAGAATATTGAAAAATCCAATAATACTCGTTATGGCATAGCTTTTGTTGATTCCAGCATTGGAGATTTTATGATTGGCGAATTTGAGGATGATGATCAATGCTCCAGATTACTTACTTTATTGTCTCTCTATACACCTGTATTAATTTTGCATGATCGAACTGGAATGGGCGAAAATACATCAAAGGTATGCAATTCAATAAATTTTTGAGAAATAACCGAAATAACTGACAAAAAGTATTTGAAAATTAAAGTTCAAAAATCAAGTTCAATATTTGTTTTTTTAAATTTTGATAATCCGTTACAATTTTGAATTCTATCCAGGTCTTAAAAGGCATCAATGTGGTCAAAGAAAAGCTGACAAATGAAAAACAATTTTGGAATGGCTCAAAAGCATTAAAGTATCTGGCAGAAACCACATATCAAAATGAAAATGACTGGCCAGAATGCTTAAAAGAAATGCAAAGTGATCATTTAAAACCGTCTGAAGATTGCACATTGGCACTAAAAGCATTAGGTGGATGTTTGTGGTACTTAAAGTATAATTTACTCGATCAACAAGTATTGTCATTAGCAACATTCAAACGTTATGTTCCACCAGATCAAAAAATTGAGTTTGATGGATCAAAAATTAAGAAAGAAAATCGAAAACAAACTCACATGATGCTTGATGCCATTACTTTACATAATTTGAATGTTAATGGCGATGAAAATTCATTAATTATGAAATTAGACTATTGCAACACTCAGTTTGGTAAACGATTATTAAAGGAAATTGTTTGCATGCCAAGTTGCGAAATAGATGAAATTAAGGCACGACAGGAAGCAGTGAATGAATTAAAGGAAAACGTTGAATTATTGAATGACTGTCGTGGGCTATTAAGTTCATTAAATGTTGATGTTGAGAGAAGTTTAAGTCAGATTCATCATCTTGGCAATAAGGATATCCTGCAAAATCATCCACAATCCAAAGCTATTTTATATGAAGCTGAAACATATGGAAAGAATAAAATTATTGATTTTGCTGCGGCTCTTGATGCTTTTGATCACTTAATGAGTCTTCCAAAAGTTTTTAAAAACTGCACATCATCCATGCTAAAAATGTTGACACAAACAAAGGAAAATGGTGGAAATTTTATTGATTTAAGTCCACAATTAAGCTTGCTACAGAAATCATTTAACATTGAAGAAGCTAAGAAGTCTGGCTACATAATTCCAGGTCGTAATGCAGACGAAGAATACGATGCAGTTCTGGATGAGATTGATACACTAGAAACTGAACTTAAAGTCTATTTAAAGCAACAAGAAAAAGTCGTTGGATGTAAATTAAATTATTTTGGAACTGACCGTAAACGATATCAAATGGAAGTGCCTGAAAGTCATTTCAAGAAGGTTCCAAAAGTTTGGAATTTGGAGAACTCGAAAGGTAAGAAAAATCACCATTTTGAACATTTTAACGGTTAAACTATATTTGAATCTTTAAGTTTTTGAACTTTGAACTGAAACTAAATGAACTTTTAATTTAATGGCTGTTCATTAATTCAAACTTCATTTCAGTTCAGTTTAAAATTTCAAAATATTTTTAACCGTTGTAAAATTAATTTTTAAGTCATTTATCAATTAATATTAATTTCACAGGTAAAGGCAAGAATGCTGTCAATCGCTACACATCAGATGAAACTAAAGAATTTCTTACTAGAATGCAGGAACTGGAAGCTAAAAAGAAAAATGTTTTAAATGATTTTGGTCGTCGAATTTTTGAAAAGTTCTCCAAAAATTATGTCCAGTTCAAGCAAATTGTTAATCTTACAGCCAAACTGGATGTGATTGCATCATTTGCTGAATTCTCACGTAATCTTGATGTATCGTGCATCCCAGAAGTATTTGAAATGGCTGAAAATCCAGGAGAAAGTTTACTTACAATTGAGAACGGAGTTCATCCTTTAATGAATTGTGATGATTATATAGCAAATGGAGTTACAATTGGAAAAGATGGAGCCTTCTTTGAGCTCATTACAGGACCTAATATGGGCGGTAAATCGACATTAATGCGTCAAGTTGCATTATTAAGTATGCTGGCACAAATCGGAACTTTAGTTCCAGCTGAAAGCATGAGTCTCACATTAATTGATCGAATTTTTACAAGACTTGGTGCCAATGATAATATTATGAAGAACCAAAGTACATTCCTTGTTGAATTGAACGAAACTGCCATCATTTTAAAGCACTGCACATTCAACAGTCTAATTTTACTTGATGAATTAGGTCGTGGAACTTCAACATTCGATGGATCAGCTATTGCACGTGCTGTATCTAATTTTATTGCTGACATGAAATGTCGAACATTGTTCTCAACTCATTATCATAGCTTAGTTGATGATTTCCAGGAAGATAATCGTATTAAGTTAGGTCACATGGCATGTGTTGTTGAAAATGAAAATTCTGAGGATATAACAAAAGAAAATGTCACATTTTTGTACAAATATGTTGGTGGAAGCTGCCCACGGTCGTTTGGTTTTAATGCTGCAAAACTTGCTGGAATTGATCATGAAATTATTCGTCGTGCTCATGAGGTATGTCCTTAGTTTCTTGAATCCACAGGTTTCAGAGTATTTCAACTGTCATTTTATATTTGAATTAATTGAGTCAAAATTCAAATTACAAAAGTCCGTTAAAATTCAAATCTTAAAAAACCATTAAATTTACCTATATCTTAAATATCAATTTTAAACCTTTCATTTCACAGATTTCAAAGACAACCGAAGCTGAAAGCCTTAAACTCCGAATCAAAACCATGATCTTAAAAAATGCAGACAAGGAAGACATTAAAAAGTTGATTATTAAATTTAAGAAATGTTTAGATTAAGTTTTATTGTTTGCTGGTAAGCCGCTAAGGTAAGCCTCTAATATTTTTGTGTCTCTCTAAATACAGTACAATTTACCATGCTTAAGTATACGATAAAGTAATAATAATAAAGGCTTATGAGCCGTTGTTGCCCAACATGTTTAATAATTCCTGAAAATTATCATCAGCTTGTAAGTCATTGTGCTGGGGTGTTACATCAAGTTTGCACTTCTTTTTTAACTCATCTAAAGTCTTTTTCTGATCAGTCGGTATTGTGTCGTCTTGCTTTTCATCCTTGCTGTCTGTTTTTAATTCCATTTTATCATCAATGACTTCATCAGACAAGTCAACTTTAAATTGTTGAAAAAGAAAATCAATTTCCTGCGATGCCTGCTTTTCATCATTATTTCCGGCATTTTGACACTGTGGAAAGTGATTCACCTTCTCATAAATATTCTCACCAACATTATGGACGTAATAACTGAGAAAATCATTTGGATTGGATTTATCAACAAACGATCCATCCCGTAATTGAAGTTTCATGCGAATCAGTAAGGAAATACGAATGTTGTGCGGTGCCAAAAATCTATTTATTTTCCTCACGACAGAGTATTTATATTCTTCATTGTATTCCCTCCACGATGTGAAAAAGTTTTGATTTGCTTGATCGATAAGTATCATTTTGGCTTTGTCTGGCATAATCCTTGAGATTCCCTGCAAATGCCTCAATGTTATCGACAACAAATCATCAGGGCTGTTCATCAAGAACATTTGCCATTTAAAAATCATCACCATCAAATCAAAAAGCTTATCTAGTGAATGGACGTCAAGTCGCATCAGTGAACAGCATGCAATATCAGTTAAAAGGATTCTAGCTTGTGCCAATGACATGATTTCGTCAGAAAATGTAGTTGATATGTAGGTGAAAAATGTTGGTGACAACAATGCGTTAGTGACATCTCTCATGACTGTCAAGGAAATAGAAAAATATTTTATATCCAAAATTGCTATCAAACGTTCAAGTCTACGAACCTTTTGATGACTTCTCCTTCTCAATATTTTGAGCAATCAGCCGTTGATCGATGATATACAGCATCTCACAACCTAAATTCACCAACAACCACGAGTTAACCTTTGCCATGTCTTATTGCAACTGAATTGACATCAAAAATAAAAAGTTTTTAATCCACAAGTACAACACTTTTTTTTTGGCTAGCAACCAGATGTGTAAACAGATGGAAACAAGCATAACAACCGATAAAATTTGAATAAAACCGTCAATTTGAAAAATGTTCTTTAATTTTCACACTTTGGGTGAACGATTGGTCACGTACGGTTATTGATATGATGTATATTTAGAATACTATTCCTTGTTATTGTGGTATCATGATAATGTTAATCAGGTCTGCTGATTCAATTCATTAAATATACATTTAATTTTATTCTATGTAGATAAAACAGCAAATTTTGGTGCTACATGTTGCATTGAATTTTGGTTTATTTTTCAGAAAAGTATTTTTATTTATTTACGATTATCTTGCATTAAAGCAAGTAGATTTGGATTTGATATGCTTGAGATCTTATTTTGATCCAAAAATTAAACTTTAACCATTAATATTTCTTGAACTAAAGAATTTTGAATTATTCAATCAAACAAGAATTATTGGTCAGGTTTGGTAAAGATTCAATGAATTGTTCAAAAGGTCTGCAAAATCTGAAAACTTTTTAAACAGTTTTTTTTCTTTTTGTTGTGGTTTCTGTCCAAAATTGAGAGCAATTAAAACTGCTGAATAGTAAGTCAAAACTTCCAAAAATATGAACCTATAAATACACAAGTAAATCTGAACATTTTTAATCAAAAACATACGACTGATAAGCAATATAAATTTGAAATTTAAAGCTTCTACTGGGCTTCAACCTTCATAAAAGTATCTAAATAGCTACACGATCCTTATTTAAAAGTTTGTAAGAGTTTTGTTAAAATAATCATAGTAATTTACGTAATCTATGAAAATTGTAAATAAAAGATTAATCGATAAACTCGTGTTGTATTGAAAATTTGTGTTTAATTCGATCAAATAAGTCTTCCGCAGGATTGAAGATGAAGAAGTATGAAGGTTTTAATCTAAAATAATTTTTCAAACAAATTTAAAACTTCAATTTTCTTAATACAGCTTTGATTTTACTGGAGAAATCTAAAGAATTTCGAGTTTCGATGCATAAAAAGAGGTATCATCAGGATAAACAGCAAGAATTTCATAAAAAGAACGAGCAGGTGATTACAATACTACTTTTCTTATAAGAAAACCTTATTTAAGCTAGTTATAGTCAGGGTTGGATTTAGATAATTTTTGAATGATTTAAGCAGATTTAAGATGGTTTGAAATAATTTTTAAAATTAAGAAAGTTTTGAAAATATTAATTTTAAGTCCAAACAGCGCACTATGGGATAAAATCTATTTTTTTTTTCCAAAAATTATTTTATTGGCTTATTTGAAAGATCTTTATGCAAGGAATCAGAATCTATTTTAATTTTGGCTCAAATTGCAGCAGTGTTGGAGATATAGCCCAAAATGTATTTTGATGACCTTCGATAGTTAAAATTTTCAATTTATCAGAACTTTCTCTTGTCTCAACCAATTTTCTTGAAACTTTTTTTAAATGACAGGTATAAGCCGAAGCTTCAATATAAATATCAGTCACATAAGTTTTACTTCATGGAAAGTGCTTAAAAATTGACTAAACTTCAAATGTTAGTAGTACGGCACACTTTTTTTGAGTATGTGGATTTCTGATGCACATGAATGTTTTTCTTTTTTCATAAAATTGTAGCTCTTTACCAGATCTACAAGAAAAATATCCCTTTCAAGGTTTAAAATTATTTTTATGTATCAAAAAATTGAGATTTTTTCAAAAAATATACGGTTTTTTACTATGTTTTGACTTCAATTGACTATAACTGCATTTTCCAAGTAAGTGGAGAGACAAGTTTTGACTGTTTTATATAGCCCTCACTTGTATCTTTCTAAAACTGTGAAAACCTGAACCTGGAAAACCTCATCTGCATGCACCTCAAAAATCTTTTTCAACTTTTTTCATCAAAATCATGTCCAAACTTGATAAAACTTTCAGGAATGTTAGAAAATAGTGTGTTTTTGATATTTTAAAATCAATTTAAGTTTTTGCCATGGACTTGGACCATTTTTATTTTAAATGTCATCATTTTCCATTTTCTTACTGGTACTTACCCAGGGGCGTAGCCAGGGGGGGGCCATAGGGGGCCCGGGCCCCCCCTACGAAAATCTGATAATTGTTTTATTAAGTATTTATAGAGAAGAACCAGTTAATGTAAAGGAAGTGATGAAAGAAATGTCAAATTCAGCACGAAAAATTAAATTTAATGTATGAATAATGAATTAAATATTTAAACTTATGAAGAATGAATATAGATTTAAGGATACAAAATAACAATTTTTTTAATTTTCGAAAATGGGCCCCCCCCTTAAAAATTTTCTGGCTACGCCCCTGTACTTACCGGTAAATATTTGCAGTAAATTAGCTCATAGAAAGTATCATAGATTTTTCTAAATTATATTAGATCATCTAAAAATCAATGCTTTTTCTTCGTACTCGTATAGTGCGTTAAATGTTTAGAAACTTATTTTTTGGTGTGTTTCAGATAGTTTAAGTATGTTTCTGTAGAAAACATGAAAAAAAAATAATATTTTTATATTTACTGTATCTGATAGGGCTGGTCAAACTATGACATGTTTCCCATACGCTAGCAGTGCCCTGGGTAAATTCTCAAATTAAAATTTAATTTTATTTTATAGCCAGTACTTTTATCTTTCCGACAGTACCAAATTTATAATATATACTTGAGATTTTATATTGTTTGAGCAAAAATGTTAAGTATGGCTCTTCACACACCTCGAATTTTGAGTAATTTTTCAGTTTTTTCAACATTATTCAGGGATATGACATATTATGTATCGTTGGAAAGGTAATTTAAGCAGCTTAACATAAAAGGTAATACAAATATTTTTTGTTAAGCATATAGTGTATTTAAAGTCATTTACATCTCATTGAAAATGGAAAATGATGACATTTCAAATAAAAATGGTCCAAGTCCATGGCAAAAACTCAAATTGATTTTAAAATATCAAAAACACTATTTTCTAACATTCCTGAAAGTTTTATCAAGTTTGGACATGATTTTGATGAAAAAAGTTGAAAAAGATTTTTGAGGTGCATGCAGATGAGATGTTTCAAATGGTTCAAAGTTTAAAATTTGGCGGAAATTTTTTTCCAGGTTTTCACAGTTTTAGAAAGATACAAGTGAGGGCTATATAAAACAGTCAAAACTTGTCTCTCCACTCACTTGGAAAATGCAGTTATAGTCAATTGAAGTCAAAAAATAGTAAAAAGCCGTATATTTTTTGAAAAAATCTCAATTTTTTGATGCATAAAAATAATTTTAAACCTTGAAAGGGATATTTTTCTTGTAGATCTAGTAATAATATTTGTCTTTATTGTGAGTTTCTTGTAAATATTTGAAATTTAACATTACATGGATTTTTATTTTAACACCAACCTATTCGGTTTTAATTTAAACTTAACTTGATTCTTAATTACGTAGTTCGTGATATGTTAAATATAATGAGATTATTGGTTGAAAAAAGTGGAAAAAAAACCATCATGGAAAAATTAAAATGATTATATATATAATAAGATAAAAATAAAAAGAAAAACCTCTCCTTTAAGAGGAAATAGGTTTTGGAAGTCTGTGCTTCAAACGAAAGTCTAGAGAGTCATATCTATATCGTCCCAGGTTGGAAACTAAATCATTAGAATGTGATTCGCAATTTGAATAAAATTTATTAGTCAGTTTGAGTGTAAACTCAGCTTTAGAATGAATAAATTCATTAGAGATAAAGTCATCGTATTTAATATATATGTAAATTTATATGTAAATTTGTCTTAGTAGCTTATTTTAAAAAACTTGGAGTTAATTGAAATTAGTTTTTGCACAATTAATGAAGATCGGGCAAGCATTAGTTATTATTGGGCGTAGAATTGATTTGTAGATCCTGAATTTGGAATCGAAAGAAACTCCCGAGTTTCATTTCATTAATGGGTACAGAGTTGAGTAAGCTAAAGCTTTTGTTTTGCTTAAGACAACATCCAAGTGATGTTTAAATGTAAGTTTCTGGTCTAAATGAACTCCTAGATAGCGGACATGAAATTTCCAATTGAATGATACGTTGTTAATATAAATTTGATCAGTCTGACACTTCTGGATGACTTTAGTTGATCTTGATAATACAATGAATTCGGTCTTGTTGTCATTTAAAGTAATTTTCCATGTAGATCTAGTAAAGAGCTACAATTTTATGAAAAAAGAAAAACATTCAAGTGCATCAGAAATCCACATACTCAAAAAAAGTGTGCCGTACTACTAACATTTGAAGTTTAGTCAATTTTTAAACACTTTCCATGAAGTAAAATTTATATTAAAGCTTCGGCTTATATCTGTCATTTAAAAAAAGTTTCAAGAAAATTGGTTGAGACAAGAAAAAGTTCTGATAAATTGAAAATTTTAACTATCGAAGGTCATCAAAATACATTTTGGGCTATATCTCCAGCACTGCTGCACTTTGGGTCAAAATTAAAATAGATTCTAATTTCTTGGATAAAGATCTTTCAAATAAGCCAATAAAATAATTTTTGGAGAAAAAAAATAGATTTTATCCCATAGTGGCAGCGCATCAAAAACCTTTAAACCTTAAAAACACTAAGCTGTATGGAAACTTAATAATTAAATATAGATCAAAAGCGCCTAAGAGCTTGAAAGTATTCACATCTAAATTTATAAAATATTCAATGCACGCACACTGGTCTAATTTTCAAAAAAAGGGGAAATGAGGTGTTTTTGGAAAAGTTTCACCATAAGTCTTCGGGGATGTCTCATTTTAAAGCTGACATTGATACACGATGATTTCTTAAGTTTCAAGTATTTTCGTCCATCTGGTGCTGAGTAGCAGGTCCTCAAAGTGAGGTATTGGCGAATTTTCTGTTTTTTGAGATTCTTTATTCAAACTCAATTTGCTCGATAACTACTCAACCAAATGAAAAATGGTTTTTGGTTCCTAAAAGCACATAATAGGACCTATGTTTTGAAATATCACACTATTTGAAAAATTTCTATCAAATGGAGTAGTGGCAGATTTAGTATGAAAAAATAGGGGAAAATCCCTCTACAAAAGTTCGTGACTGCCGCAAACTACCTGAAATAAGATCTAGCCTATTAAATTTACCTTTATTAAATAGTTCAAACCTCCATCTTTCTAAATTGGTATCTCATTATACCCAGAGATTGCACTTTTTGAAGTTATAGTCAATCAAAGTTGGTCAAAAATGCCAAATTTTAAAAAAATTATATCTCAAAAACCATTCAAACTAGTGTATCGGGTAGAAACCCAATGCGGATATATTCACACCGTACCATCAAAAAACATATGGATAGACCAAGATTTGCTCAGCATAAGTTTGAAGAGTAGGCGTGAAGTACGACCGAGACCCATATCGACACAGTTCAAAAGATATACCTAATTTATGTCATAATTATGTCAGCTACAAAAACACTTAGTTTGAATTTTGTCACCCCCGGGAACACTATGAACCAGTATAGCTGATTTTGGTCCAAATCTCGGCCATACTTCACACTTATTTGAACCACATTTTCTCGTAAATGTTAAAATATTATTAAAAAGTAATTAATCCTGAACTATGTCGCTATTTTGTCAAGTGTTTTGAGATTAAGAATTTGTTTTTTGGTTTCCACAGTGAAGAGTATGAACAAAATTCAGATGGGGTAATCGAAATTTTAGATTTCGTTTTTTTTAAGCTTTGCATTACAAAAAGTAATATTGGTATGTGATTTATGTCAGAATTATGTCAATTCAAATAAAACATCCAAAAAATTTTTTTGAGCAAAGAACCAAGTAGGAAATACATTTTCAATTTTGGACTAGGGGCGACCCTAGTCAAAATCAATTTTGTCACTTTTTTCTTTGAGGGTTTATACAAATGGATTGAAACTTTGCATTAGTATTCTGGTGCTTGAAACAAATACAAATAAAACATCCAAAAAATTTTTTTGAGCAAAGAACCAAGTAGGAAATACATTTTCAATTTTGGACTAGGGGCGACCCTAGTCAAAATCAATTTTGTCACTTTTTTCTTCAAGGGTTTATCCAAATGGATTGAAACTTTGCATAAATATTTTAGTGCTTAAAACAAATACAAATAAAACATCTTAAAATTTTTTTGAGCAAAGAACCAAGTAGGAAATACATTTTCAATTTTGGACTAGGGGCGACCCTAGTCAAAATCAATTTTGTCACTTTTTTCTTTGAGGGTTTATCCAAATGGATTAAAACTTTGCAAAAATATTCTAGTGCTTTAAACAAATACAAATAAAACATCCTAAAATTTTTTTGAGCAAAGAACCAAGTAGAAAATACATTTTCAATTTTGGACTAGGGGCGACCCTAGTCAAAATGAATTTTGTCACTTTTTTCTTCGAGGGTTTATCCAAATGGATTAAAACTTTGCATAAATATTCTAGTGCTTAAAACAAATACAAGTAAAACATCCTAAAATTTTTTTGAGCAAAGAACCAAGTAGGAAATACATTTTCAATTTTGGATTAGGGGCGACCCTAGTCAAAATCAATTTTGTCACTTTTTTCTTTGAGGGTTTATCCAAATGGATTAAAACTTTGCAAAAATATTCTAGTGCTTAAAACAAATACAAGTAAAACATCCTAAAATTTTTTTGAGCAAAGAACCAAGTAGGAAATACATTTTCAATTTTGGACTAGGGGCGACCCTAGTCATAATCAATTTTGTCACTTTTTTCTTTGAGGGTTTATCCAAATGGATTGAAACTTTGCATAAATATTCTAGTGCTTAAAACAAATGCAAATAAAACATCCTAAAATTTTTTTGAGCAAAGAACCAAGTAGGAAATACATTTTCAATTATGAACTTGGGACAGGTCCAGTCATAATCTAGTTTTTCACTTTTTTCTTCGAGGATAAATCCAAATACAGTAAAACTTTGTATGAGCATTCTAATCTTCAGGTCACACATTTCTGAATTAATAAAAATCATTTTTTTGGACAAAATTGTAAGTCATGTTGTTTTTGAATGTACAACCAAATTTATAAAATTTGGGTCTGACGACATATAGAATACATTTCTTGCTTTAGATATTTAAAACTGTTTTGTATAAATATTAGTATACTCACACAAAGTTTCACTGTAATTGGATAAACCTTCGAAGAAAAAAAGTGAAAAACTAGATTTTGACTAGACCTGGCCCAAGTTCATAATTGAAAATGTATTTCCTACTTGGTTCTTTGCTCAAAAAAATTTTAGGATGTTTTATTTGTATTTTTTTAAGCACTAGAACATTTATGCAAAGTTTCAATCCATTTGGATAAACCCTCGAAGAAAAAAGTGACAAAATTGATTTTGACTAGGGTCGCCCCTAGTCCAAAATTGAAAATGTATTTCCTTCTTGGTTCTTTGCTCAAAAAAATTTTTTCCATCCAAAGTTAAATTTAAAATAAAAAAAAATAACAGTGAACTTTTAATTTGAAAAATTCGTAAGAAAGGAAAGTTTTTTGCTTATTCTGAAGCAACGGCTGTTACTACCTTGCCCAAAAACACTACTACTTCTATAGAGCAGCACGGATCAAATGTAAAAAACTAGAAGTCTCTACAATGCCTCGTTATTGAGATTTCTTGCTGATTAACTTGCTTGCTTGCTTGCTTGCTTGCTTGCTTACAGAAAGCGTATTTTGCGAATTTCTCAGCAATGCCACAACCAATTTGAAATCTGTTTTCTGAAAATAATGTATAATTTCAGGCACAAACTTTTCTTTTGTGACCTTTTATAACCAATTTTGCTTTGTTTTCTCACAAAATGCGAAAAACTGATTTTTCAATCTGAACAAAACCAATAGATTCACATGTGAAAACGATGTGAATATAAAAATCAACTTTTGCTCTAAATAAGCTTAAACTTGAAGTTTTTGATTTTATACTTGATTGTTGGGCTATTAATGATTGATTTTTAAAAAATCCTTTCCCCTTTTTTTGAAAATTAGACCAGTGTGGCACGCACCAAACTAGCTTCTGAAATTAAAAATGAATGAAAATTAGATTTAAAAATTCATTTAAATAAAATAAAATTATTCAACATTTAACGGTCGAAGACACGCTCAAAAGCGAGATCCGACAATTCGTTAACGACAATTTTTCGACACAAACACATAATCGGATAAGCGAATATCCAACGCATTGCCGTAGAACTGAGTGTAGTTTATAATAAACGACGAAAACGATTCATATAAATATTCCATCATATATTTTATTAACAAAAAATGTTCTTATATTTAATTAAAAAACACATAATTTTCGGTTAAATGCATTAACGGGAATGCATAGAAGCGATTTATGATGAGCGATGGCGTGAATATTGTGATATTTTAACAAATAAAAACAAAAAGTTTTTACAGAACTCGGATGGTTGGATAAAAAAAAATATTTTATGTAGAAAAAGAGAAAAAAAGTGTGAAGAATTTTTTTTTACATTATTAAATCTTTCACTCGATCCAGCAAGTTAGCGAAAAAAAGAAAGAAAAAAAAAGTAATTTACTAAAAATGACATGAAGCAAAAATTGAAAGAAAAATTTAATGTCGGAGATAAAGTGAAAAAAACAAATTTTACAAAATGTGTAAAAATGTCAAAAGAAGTTGAAAATTTGAAAAATGGAGTTTTAAATGGAGATTCTGTGATAAGTAATAATCACATTCAGCAGCAACAGCATACGAAATTGAATAATTCTAATGTGGATTCGACAACGAAAGCGATTGTGGGCGGAAGATTACAGTTTTACAAAGGTAAATATCGCCCTCGATATGAGCAAAATAAATTTTTTTCATTTTTTTTTTCTACGTTTGATAAAAAAATATTTTTGATATTGCGTTGGGGAAACTGGAGTTTCTTTTCTTTTCTCTCCGTTTTCTGTCTTTTTCTCTTTCTCTTGTTTTGTCCATCTACCATCCGCCTGCTTTTTTGCCTCCGAATCTTTTTTTTTTCATTTCATTTCTTCACAAGAAGATTTTTCTTCATTCTTGCTGCTTTTTTTTTGCTTGTTGCCTTTTCTCTCTCTTTCTCTTATAATGTATTTCTACTTACTCCGTTTTCTGTCCGGATGTTGTATTTTTATTTTTATTTTTTTTTCTTTCTTTCCTTTTCATTATGAATGAAATGATTTTTGATCATATGCCGTATCTTGATTCTATAGTTTCCTTTTTCAAAAATGCTCTCGCTCTCGCGCAGAAATTATTAAAAATTCATTCAGTTTTTGAATGCTAAATTTAAGAATTTTTGCGGATGTAATATTGTGGAAGCGCATTTAATGGCTATACACAGAGTTTTAATTGATTTGTCAAGCATTCCAGAAAATGTTTGATCTGAAAAGATTTATTTAAAGTTTACTTTCAAATATTTGAATGTTTTGAAACTTCAAAAATTGAAAATTTTGGTTTTGAATTATAATTTTTGGCATATTAAGTTACATCAATATCATTTTGATGAAGAATATACTAAAAGAGTATGACATCTATCAAAATTACACTTTAAATGATTTTTTAAAGTTTATTGCGTTAATTGCTAGTTATAAATTTCAAAATTAGGACCTAAAATCACGAATCATTGATCTGATCGAGTTAAATCTAGTTAAATTTGTTTATTTTAGCACAGTTATAATCCGCCTACGCATATTTTTTTAAGATTTTAGTGTATTGTTGAAAATTAGGTTTCTCTTATCTATCAATATTCTAAGATTGAATTGATTTAAAGTTTTTGAATTCATCCTGAATTAACAACTACAGATAGCTTTGCTGCAGATAGTTTCTGACTTGGGATGTGTCCAAAACCTTGAGTTTTGAGTTCAATTACTGTTCAAATCAGAGACAATTTAAGAATGATTCAAAAATCAATTTTGAATTGTCACACAACTTCAGACAATAAATTCTTAAACATAAACTTATTGAACTAAGAAATGATTAATACTTTACCTGATCTCTTTAAAGAGCTGATTCTGATACACCTGCCTCTCTTCCTTTTTCTGTTATTGGATCAGATTCAAATAACGCTTAATGATTTGGTCCAGAATATTCACAAACTCATCCTCCAATTTCTTAAACTAAATGAACCAAAACACTAAAGATTCCAACAGCCAAACTGATTGTTCTCATGATTCATACAAATTGCTAGCTAGCTGAACATTGCAATCTTTATGATTGATGCAATTAAATTTCTTTATTATTACTTCTTTAATATACATCAGGTTGTTTGACGAGTACCGACATAATATTCATCAGTTGATTGACAAACAAGATGAACATTTTGAATTGTTATTTAAATTTCAATCAAATCAAGCATTGGACTCGCCAATTCAATGTGACATAAGAATGCAATGTTGGGCTTCTTTAACGAACCCTTTAGCAAATGTACATAAGAGTTCAATACCAGTTCTATAATTTAAGCACATTTGACAAAAAACAACAATAGTTCCATATAGCCATCAAGATAGGATTATTTATGATTGCACCTGCTTTGCAAAAAAAAATAAAGAGAATTTTAAAGGTTTCATTGATATGCTCGTTCTTTAAAAGTGTTTGGCTTGTGCAATCGCCACATTTTGCTTACTAAATAAATTAAAAATTACTAGCAATTATTGTTAAATAGAGTTTATATATTTTTGCGGATAATGATATAATATTTCATAGGAAAAAGAATTTTAAAATAGCAACTGAAAAATTTTTATCGCCTTTTTGGTGATTTGTAAATGTAAGCAAAAACCTTTTTTTTTTTTTGATGACGATGACAACTTTTGCACTTGAAGTAAAAATTTTAATCGATTACAGTCAATCAATTAAGTCGTCAAGCATTTATGATTCATAAAATTTATGGTGAAGCTAGTAAAATTCTAGTGAAATTTAATATTTTTCCCATAGGAAGTCGCTCATTTCTCTCATTTATGATTTTTTTTCCATATTTTTCTCATTCATCCATCCAGAAGTCAAGAATAATCGCCACCTTATCGCTTCTTGAAAATCTCATTTAGCACTGTATATCGTGCGAATGAATAATGAAGCTATATGTTAGTTCAACAATATGTAATAGTGTTCATTGTTTTGTGAATTTTGTGTATGGAACGATATGGTAAACTAATTTTTCTAAGATCTCTTTAAACAACAATTTTTGGTGATGGTTCAGAGAGCATAGATGGATTTTTTTTGTCGTTACACCTTCTTTCTCTCTCTATGAACATCGTATTGTATTGTATTGTATGTTTATGTGCTGTATGTGCGTTATTTTTAAGAGTGCATATTTTTTTTCAACAATAATTGTATTCATTCATACGTTTTGTCTTTTTTTCTTGAGGGGGTTTTATTCATAACTCTGCTCATATAGCTCAGCTCACAAGTGTGCTGTCTCGTCAACCATGACGTGGAATTTTCTGAGTTTACTTTTTAACCTAAAGTTCATTTTAATATTTTTTTTTTGTGATTTAATTGTTACTGATCCATAGTGGGAGATATTCTTATTAAAGTTTTTGCAGATATGGATATGTTCGGTCAGAGATCAAACCTTGCTTTGCATCTTAAATCTAAAATCTATGAATTAGCGTGCCCTTAGTTTGACTGTGTCTAAGGTACAGTCTAGAAATCAGCTCATCAACTAAGTTTTCTAAGCTTATAAATGCGATTTCGATCGGTTTCATAATCCTCATTGATATTCTATACATTTGAAAAATAAATTGCATCCTAAATCATTTGACTATATCTGCATGCTAAAGTAATCAAATGTCATCAAATTGACACTTCAGAATTCCCAAAAAGCGATAAATTTCATGAGAATCTCACGGAAAAAAATTCAATTGAATTTTATGACAATTTTTGACGAGTTTTTTTTTTTTTGTTGAAATTTTATGGATCACGGATGACAATATTGCATAGAATTTGTGGATTTCACATAAAATATGACATTCAGATAAAACGATAATTTTCACTGTAAAAAGTATTGAGCTAGTGGTTTCTTTGAAAATATTCAGTAATCTTATGTTTTGAGATATTCATGCAATCCAGTTTTTTACACCACATTTTGAGTACTGGTTAAAACTTTAGTGACTGGCACATGTCTTTTTTTTATCAGTTGTCACACTGCTTTCATTGTAATTTTGCGGTGTACCATATCCGTGGCCTTGTCAAATAAGCTTTTGAAACTCTGTATTTAATGTAATTGCTTAGTATATCTCATATAACTAGTTATTACATCGATGATATTCTTTTGAATCATTCAAAATTTGATTTGAATAGTTTTTGATTAAGTTACACATTTTTACTTAGATCCTGATTTCAAATATGTCTTGTAGATTGCTTACTGCATTGATAAATTGTTTGCTTTTTCCTGTTCTTTCCTGCAAGACAATTAAAATGAAAGTGAAAAAATTTGTCAAAATTGCGCCTTTCATAAGAAAACATAAAAGATGCAAAGAAGAATTCAAAGATGCGAAAGTATTTAAGGATGCGAAAATTTAGCAATGATGCAAAATATGAATTTCTTTAAATTTTATGAAATTGTAAGGGGCCGTTCACTTATTACGTTACGCAAAATTACGTTTTTTCAGCCCCCCTCCCCCCTTGTTACAATATGTTACAACTCACAACCCCCCCCCCCCCCCCCGAACGTTCATAATTTATTTTATTTTGGTGTGAATTTTTTTCGTGAACTTTTTTTTAAAAGAATTGTCGTCTTAGAACGTTACATACTTCTTGACCCCCCCCCCCCCCCCTTATGTTACATTGTTACAATTTTTCAAACCCCCCTCCCCCCTAAAATGCGAACGTAATAAGTGAACGGCCCCTAACGAAGTTAATGCAAAAATCGTTACTTAAAACACAACTAGACACAATCAAAACTCTTAGAATCATAATGACTCTAAATGATTGCTAGCCTTCTCATAAAAAGGCGCTATATTCCAATTTACTTTTATCTTCAACATTCGGTCTTCAACACTGCAGCACATCTAAATTCCATGCTCTAAAAAGTAGCAATGTAGCAATTGAAGTAACATGAAACAAAATAAAAATCTATAAAAATTCTTCTTTTCATTCACTAAGCACCGATGCCGATAAAAAAATATAAAACAATTTTTCTTTTCAAGCTCATAGCTAGACATATTTTAGTCGGCAGTTGTATTTAGTATCATGTGCTTTAATTAACAATGAGTACATTATATGCGCGGTATTAAGTAACGGAGCATTTTCTTAGGCACATACTAAACACATCATTTCAAAATTATGTGCAAAATAGCACTCATTCCTGTGGTGATTATTTTACATGATGATACAGAAATGAAAAATGTAAAGAACTGCCGAAAAAAAACGGGAGTCTTTTGCATTCATAGCAATAATATTATTATTATTTTGTAAAGAACTCTTTAAAAAAATTTACTTCGCGGATTTTTTACGCTGGCTGTGTTTTCATTTCTCATTCTCTTCGTCTTCTGCGAGCTGTTATTGCCACAAACAGCAAACAACAGCAACTACAACAGAATTTCTCTTTAGGCCGTTTCAAGCTTGAAATATAACAATAAACACATTACATTGAGTCAAATAGCAACAATTATTCGGATCAAGGTATCATATTCAGTATTCAGGAATTATAAAGTACTCGCGCTCGCCTACACCTGATTCCTCACTGCACACACGTTTATTTCTCTTGCTCTGCTCATTTCTTTCATCCATCTTTCACTATCTCTCTCACTTTACTTTATTGTTGTATTGTCTTCCAATGTGCCTTGCAAATGGTTATATATCCATGCAAAACAAAACAATATGGAAATTAAGAAACAGTCGAACCAAAAAAAAGCACAGCAACAGAATTAAAATATATATATAAAGTTAAATGAATGGAGGAAGAGAAATGGAAGAAAAAAAATAAGAAAATATTGTGGAACAAAAATGGAGAGTGATTCTCAATACAACATCATTATAAATTATGATAATTTCATACATGTATATATTACCAATTTTGTGGGAGATACTGTTCTGACATATTCAAAGCGAAGAGAATTGAAGAAAGTTGAAAATTGGATTGGATTTGGCTATTAAGCGCTCTGAACTCTTGTGTTTGGTTTGCAAAGTTTATACTGAACTACTGAACCTTCTTTTACAGTAAACAAACCGATAATCTCTCAAAAATAGACTTTGAAACAAATTTCAACTCAACCTGAATGTTTTGTATACAATTCAAAGAAATTGATCCCTAGGCTTGAAAGAAGAATAAATTATCTTCGATTCCACTTATCATGCAGCAGATGATTTGATCTGAACTAATAACTCATTGTCAGTCTAATAAACCCCGTTATTGGGGTAGGAAACTGATTTTATAAGCAGGAAGAGTATCCGGCTTGAAGGAAAAAGAATGCATTGCAAAAAAACCAAGACTAAAGAATCGTTCGCTGACTTTAATTATAATCTTTATTGATTACCTGCTATCTTAAAGTATTTTATGACTTCAATGTACATACCTAAATGGAAGTTCAACCTATGATGTAAAAATAATACCCGATTTTAAGTTTTCACGTCATCAACAAAATTCCCGCGTTTTTGTTATAATTAGAAGTACTTGTTTGTCTATCGGAATTCAATTGTACTTGGGAGATATGAAATTGGGAGACAATTGTAATTAATTTAGAATCAAAGAATTTTAAAAGATTTAAAATGATTTGGAAAACTTAATGCATGAATTTGAGGTTTAGAACTTTACTCTATCTTTATGGAATAGCTTGAGTATTTCTCCTAGTCTAAACGATGCTTCTTTATTTGTAAGGTTTCAATCCGAATCTTAACCTGAACCACCTTACTTTCCTCTACTCAAAATCAAATTCCAAATAATAGTAAAACCATCCAAAATAGTTGATTAAATTCCCATAAACAAAAATCAATTATTGTGCTCTTAAAGCAGACAAAATTAATTCACAGAACTCAATTTCTTGGTTGAATATAATGGATATGTTCTAACGACCTCATTCATCCACATTTCTTTCTTGTTATTTCATTCTATTTTTTATTCATTTTCTCCTTTTAAATATAATATGTATCTATTTATTCTTTTCATGTACACGACCACAAAATAGATGGAAAATTTATATTGGAACTAGCACGTGCGCGTGAAGGTGAAAAAACTGGATGGATTTCTGTACCGAGGAAAACATTTTGGCCACCAACAATATCAACAAATTCAAGTACAACATTTAGCAAACATGAAAGCTCTACATCGCTAAGTTGTGAGTATAAGTCGAGTCAAGGAATTCCTATGAATCATGTCTGAATAAATTACCTTTTACGTTATTATGCTACTTATAGATTCAGATGACAATAGTTCCATACAATCATCGCCATGGCAGAGAGATCATTGCTGGAAACAATCGAGACCTCGTCCAAATATCTCAAAGGAAATGACCTTTTTTTACAATCGTCCGACACGTCTTTATTTAACAGGCGATTGTCAAAAAGTTTCACGACTTATGCGTCGACGTCCATTACACAAATGTGGCACAATAAAATTTAATGATGATAATATTAAAAGGGAGAAGAAAGTCTATGGTGAAGATGTGGTGACGTCAAGTACGGATAAGAAAAGTGAAAATGAGAGTGATGGAAAGGAATCGACCTCATCCTCAACGTCATCACCAAATGATTCAAAAGAGAGTATTAGTGATACATTGGAGAACAATAATAAGCTAACAGACACAACAACAGCATCTACGACAAGTACATCCGTTAAGATGAGTCAACATAAATTGGATAAAATTCTAAAGAAACTTGCTGATAGAATATCAACGAAATTAGCACTTAATGGAAGTAGCACAAATGGCCATCATGCTAACAATAATAATAATAATAATCACACGACATCGAATTTACCGCCAACAAGTTATTCACTTGCATCGCACATTGTAAATTCCATAAATACCCAACCACATCAGCATGTATCGCCACGTAAGAGAATTTTAAGGGAACTTGAGAAGGTGTCACTGGAAGATACAAAAAGATCCAGACCGAAAACGAATGCAACAATAAATGGAAATGTGACTGCAACATTGAATAATAATAATAATAATCATAATAATATTAATAACAATACATTCTCAAATGGAAGTCTGATAAAAACTGAAAAAGCACCGACCGTTTCTCGTCCAATTAGCAGTTATAGTATTACATCACTGTTAGCTCATAATACGTCGACAGGCTGTAATAATCTAAATAATAATAATAGTATTAATTCAAATGACTCATTATCAACTAGTCACTTTCATCAGCAACAGCAACAACAGCAGAGATTATCTCTTAACTCTCCACCAACACTGCCATCGGCAAAATCACCACAACAAATGATGCACAATAAACGAAAATCGCCAAATACGTCGCCACCTAGACTAAATCAATCGATAGGATCACCATCCCAAAGTCCGAGTCCCGAGCATCATGCTTTTCATAAATATCGACCAATAACGACAACGCCCACGTCAAATGCTGCATCATCGTCACCATACAATAGCAGTTATCATTCACCGAATTATATGCGTGGTTCACCATCACCTCATGATAGATTACGTACTACTGGAAATTTCCAACATTCACCCTCTCATTATGGAACGTCGTCGCCTCAACAACAACAGAATTATAGTGTTGGCGTGGCACATAGAGATTCCTCATTATCGCCAAATGTCGAGAGATCATCGACAACGTCAAATAATAATAATAATAATAACAATAATCGAAGTACTCCAACAAGTTCGAGTAGTGGAATTAGGACTGTTCCAAAGAAAACGGCTGCACTAAGGCAACAATTTAGTTCACCGACTATGGAAAGTTCAACTAAAATCAGTAAATCAGCAACGACTGCAGTGCAAAATATGAAGAATGAAAAGCCAATGGATGTTGATTCCTTGCTTAGACCTTCAGCATTAGTTCCACCATCACCAATTTCTGCTGCTCTTGGTCATCATCCTGCCGCTTCATTAAGTCACTATCCGTACATGTATCCTCCGTTAAGTTACTTACCTCCAACTGTTCCACCATATTATCCTTCATTTTATAATCCAGCAATGATGGCAGCAGCAGCGGCAGCAGCTTATAGATTTCCAATACCTGGATATCCTCAAACGGCTAATTCATTATCTCCCGTATCAAATACACATGCACCATCTCAAATTACAAATCCCTCGTCGAACCATTATGATAAGAATTCAAATGGACATCCAAGAAGTTCATCAATCTCCTCATCACCGCCAGAAGCAACAACAACTCATCATCATTCATACGTACCTACATCGCCTTGGAATCCAATTTCATTAACAAATCATCATCATCATTCCATCAGTGATGGTAATAATTTAATTTCAAAAGTAAAGGATGAACAAAGTTCAGGTGAGTACAAGCCATACTGTAATTGATGAGATTACTTTAGTAACTGCGTGTAGAAAGAGGAGAAAATCATAAGAAGCCAATGATTGATTACATTTTGTTTATGTTTTCATTTTCTTATTTTTGCAGACGTCCCACTTAATTTATCGAAACATTAGGACCAGAGAAAATGTTAATTGAAACAACAATCAGGACATTTTTTTCTTATTGGAAAAAAAATCTATATATTTAATAACATAATTAAGCAAGTAAGTAAACACACTATTGAGGATGAAAAAGTGAACAATCAACAACCAAAGTCTGAAATTAAAAAAAAAATATGAAATATGAAAAGTAATTTACAATTTGCTGCGATGTGGACAACTGAAAGTGGGGATATGGTAGAGTACTGTTTGGAACCTGCAGTGTCAGGAGCAGAGTAGCTATATGTAGGCAAATCTTTTGTAATCCTCTCTTTTGTGAGGAGATGGGTTCGATTCTCATTAGAGACTTTGTCAAGATGTCAAGGAATATCACGATATTCAGTACCTTAAATAAGCTTAGAGAGTGTTCAAACCTTTAATTCCCGTATTAAAGCTTTGATTTAAACTTTGTCTTTGGATTCAAGCTGAGATTGAAGCTAGGATCTCATTGCTAAATCTATAGATTGTTCTTAAAATTGTGATCGAAACTCTTTAGAGTCAACAAATCGCTACACCAACTTCCCCACTTCCTAAAGCCGATACATGAGAAACGAATCAACATTTTGACAATGTATTGATGGTGAATTAAAACCAATTTAGACAAGTTTTGTAAGAAAAAATCAGGCACTTTAAGGACACATACACAAACACACAAAAAAGAATTCATGAATTATATATATTTAAGAGGAATATTGAGAAATATTTTCATAAATATTTACAAAAAAAAAACAAACAATTTTTACAACAAAGGATGAAAAACAAAAATGACGAAAAATAATATAATTAAAAGATTTTAATAAACGATTTATAAGGAAGACATTCAAGGAAAAAGAAATAATAATTTTAATAGATGATAAGAAGAAAAAGTAAAATCTATTTATGATGTAAAATTTCTACTTATTGAATTTAAAAGCCATGGAAACTTTTTTGAAAATGGCATAACATTACACGACATTTAAATTATAAGAATGACAGAAACAAAGAAAACAAAAATCTGCTGATAAAATTACATAAATTATTGAAGAAGAAAAGATGTATTTTTGATAATCGTTTGGATGGGATGTAAAATTAAGCGAGAAGCGAACAAGAATTTTTTTCTTCGTGTGCAGTTGAATATTTTAATTGAGAGAAATTCACATTTTTCAAAATTAATATCTTCAATTTGATGATTAAATTACGTGGTAACATTAATTTTTTTCAATGTTGTATGTCGCTCGGGATTTTTCAAAGTCAATTTTTAAATCGCGTAAATTATATACCTAGAGAAAAATAATGTTTTGGGGGGAGGATTTAAATGATTGGAGATGTTTTTGGATGATTTTTACACAAGACTGGTTTTTAAATGGAAATTTACAGATAAAATGTCACAAAGAATATTAAGAAAAGATTACGTATTAAGTATTTAACGTACGTAATAAATATGGCTTACGTACGTAACAAATATGGCATACGTATTTTTACGTACGCAAAAAATATGGCATACGAATTTTTACAAAAATTATTTCGACAAGAGTTCCTGAAAGAAATGCCCATAAAAATCAATCTCCAATCATTTTCATCCCAAAAGTAAACGAAAAATGAAGAAAAAATAAATTCAATGGAAAATTCTTTGTTCAATGTAAAATGCTTTGTTCGTGTTTAATTAAATTAACAAAAATATTTTGGCATGATACGTATGTCTTATGATGGTGATAGAATTAATGGGCTTTCATATAAACAAAAAAAAAATTGATAATATACACATTGGCAGGCACAGTATAAAAATTGGATCATAAATGGAATCTCAAGAATGAAATTTAAATAATTTTTAATTTTTTTTTTTAAATTGATATAAAGTATATTCCCATAGACTGAGATGTAGATTTTTTAGAATGAACAATGAAAAAAAGTGTATTTTTACAAAATTTTCTGAAAAGTTTTTGACCAATTTGACGATCATTTTACACATTAAAGAGAAGAGAGTATTTACAAACAGTTTTATACCTTAGGGGCATCCATAGGTGATGTTTATTGAAAAATGATGCTTTAGGCACGACCTAGCTCTGTAAGGAATACTAAACCACCTAACCTTTACTGTGCGAAGTGGTCTGGAAAACTACGACAGAGCCAAGAGCTGGTTTAAAATGTCATTTTTTGATCGCCGTCATTTTTTAATCAACCCCCGAAAAAGAATTTCACACTTTTTATTTGCATAAAAAGAGAAAATTTTTATAAAAATGTATTAAGAGCATCTTCATATTCCAATTTTTAAAGGAACTATTCGCACAATATACAAAACATTCCAAAAATATAAATAAAATAAAACCATTCTATTTCGCCAAGTGCAATCAGTGAATATTTTATGCTGAAAATTTTTTAAAATTCAAATCTAATGCTACAAAACATAAAAAAATTGCGTCAATGTGCCTTTATAAAAAATATTTTTTAAAAAGCAAAATAAAAACTTTTTTGGAAATGACAAATTTTTGCACAAAAACCATCGTGAAGTTCACTTTAAGAAGCTCCAAAGTTGTACGCAATTTCTCAACAGAACTTTTCATTTTTCCACTCAATTAAGAGACATTCTTCTTTTTGACAGCGTGTTGCAGAAAAGTGAAAAGTTTTGAGGTCACATGAGAAATTAAAAATAAAATTTCTGTGGAGCTTCAGAATGACGTAAAATGATTATATTCCTTATCCTGAAGCTTTTCGGCTAAAAGATACAACTTTGTTGCTTCTTAAAGAGCTTTAATTCACGACAAAAACTTACAAACAGCGATTTAATATAAAGATTTTACAAAGTTAATCCTTTCCAAACTTCAAACTTAAACAATCTCTTCAGTGTGCCAAAAATTATAAAAATCCTCTTCTTTATTCCTATATAGACTTATGTGCTGGCTGTATTAAGCTTTAGGCATGATTATTTGATGTTTTTGATCGATTTTATGGAGACTGGATGTTAAAAAATTCAACTGTTCTTAAAATTGATTTAAAATCTTAATTGGATCTTGAAAATAATCCAGGTAGCTCTTCGAAAAGCTAATAAAAATTCAAATAAGCATGACTAATACCTACAAAAGCACATTATATTTGCAAGATTCATAAATGCAGGAATCCTTAAATTTTCTTTAAAAATCTACAAAAACTCAATTAAAGATTTTCAAGATCTTCCTGAATTTATGAATCTAATCATCTTCATATACAAGTCATAGAAATCAAATCAACTCTGGCATGTTATTGCATTTAATTATGATTTAAACCAAGTAAATTAGTTGAATGGACTTAATAGAATTCAAAATATAAGAAAATTAAAATAGAGGCAGGGATATAAAAAAATTGTTCAGACTTTTTAGAAATTTTCATACAAAGAAATACATAAAATTAACAAAATTAAGCCTTGAACTGAAGTTAATTAGTCCTTATAATGATATTTGGACTTGATGTGAATGTGAAGATTGATAAAGGTAGCTAGTTTGAATATTTGGATTGATTTTTTGGCAGATGAGAATAGTTTCGTTTAGCAAGAATCATCTAAACAGCTATTTGGAAAAATCATTTCGAAGGAATGGAGATATTTGGAATGTTATCATCTAAATTTGTTCTCAGATTAGACAAAAAAAAACATTTAAAAACATGATCTGGGTTAGGTTGTCCTCACCTGTTGTCAATCCTCATAAAAATCAAACTCCAAAACTGCCAAGAAAACAAAATCCAACCAGATTCATTCAAAATCGTCACTAGAATCCAACGTCACTTCATCTAAAAAATGGAACAAAAATTCCAAAATAAATCAATCAAAATAAACTTCAATTTCCGTCAAATTGAATCAGAAAGTGATCAAAAAATTAAAGAAGAAAACTTGAAACTAAATTTTCATGAACGATAAGACCTAGAAGATGCAAATGAGAGCATTTTCCAAATGATAATCAACATATAGTTTTAATTAATTATCATAAATAGCATCAAGATGAAAAACAAAAACAAAAAAAATGTCGCTTAAAATGATTAGTTAATAAGTGAAAGTAAAAAAAAGAAAAAAAAAAATTAAAAAATTCCTTAGACTTACATTTTGTTGTAAATGCGATGGACTATATATTTGTAGATTTTTAAGTTAAAAAAACAATTATTTCCTTTATCTTAATATCGATATAATTTTTATTTTATTATATATGGTATTTCTCAAAGCATAATTTAATCAAAATGTGTTTTCTTTAAATTGTAAGGGCTTGAGGATCATAAAAAATGGTAGAAAATTAAAAATTAAGTCTTTTTTGATGGATTTTTTTCTACTTTATGGAAAAATTAATTGTCGTAATGAGAAAAAAAAACAGTAATTATATTATATTACATTGTATAAATATATTCAAATGACTTTTTTGCTTAAAATTAATTTCACAGAAGAAAAAAAAAACAAGAATGAGTAAAAAGAAATCATTGATATATGTAGATTAGTTATTATAATTAATAATATTATAATTTTTAATTCACTTAATATTTACTCTCAATTTAAATCTCATTTTTGATGCTAAGTTAAATTTAATCTATAATAAAAATAAACAAGATTGAGGATAATAAGCTATTATTCAATGCAATTATGAGTAACTGGAACATTAATTATACTGAGAACTTGGTCTGTTTCTGTGTTTTACATCGATAGGTTCTATTTGACTTAATCCTTACAACCGACGTTTATGTAACCTAATATTACTCTAGGATTTTATTCTAGGATTCAAACTAAAGTATAATTCAAATCATAAGTCAGAATAACTCGTACTTTAAATCTTGGAAAGTTTATACTATTGAGGAACACTAGCTAAGCAAACTTATATGGCTGGTATTACTTTATAGTGTGATTCAGTTTAAACTAAAGAATGAACTAGTTCATTATATAGTTTTTATCCTAAGGGCTTCGTTTATAGTAAAGTATGTCCTATCTAAGATTTTAGACAAGAGATATACCCTAGTGTTTAACAAAGGAGATCTCTAGACTGTATAATTGATTATTGTCTTGAACCTGGATTTGAATAAATCTATTCGATTACAACCTTAAATTTTAACTAGCATTCAAATCTAATTAATCATCAAAATAAATGAAATAAGAAGCCAAGGGAAATAGAAAAATGCTGTAAAACACAGAAACTATCTGGTTTAGAAATAATTGCTGAGGAAAAGACACAAGACATATAAAAAGCTAATTATAATTCATTTTATAAGAACAATTGTATATCCTCATTTCAGCAGTATTGTTTGATTATGATAACGCACACAAGACATAAATCGTGAATTGACTCGTGCAGATTTATCATTGAGCTTAATTAAATAATTTCCTCTCATTTTTAATGGTTTCTTTTCATGTGTCAATTCAGAGCTCTCTAAAAAAATGAAAAAATATATGAAGTATATAAAAATTCTTATTAAAAAATGATTCCATTTTTATTATGAACCTTAATTAATCAAATGATGAAAAAAAATCCACACATAAAATTTTTTTGTGAGAATTGTGTGCAATTTAAAATTTTTAATATATAATTTGTTTTTTGTAGAAAAGCAAGGATGAAAATTTTCTTTAATTAATTATCAAAATTATAAAAACAAAAAAAAAACAGCTGAAAAAAAGATGAAAAACTAACAAGAAATGCATTATATTGAATATTTTTACTCAAGATGATAAAATGAAATAAAAGATTAATTTTAAAAATACTTTTGCGTTTGTATTTGTTACTGTTTGTTTGTTTATTTTCAGGAAATAGTCCACATTTTGCCGGTTACAGCGTGATTAACGGTGTGTATTTTAAACGAAAAATTAACGGTCTTGAAGAATTCAAATTTATCCACTTTTAAATCTTGCATTTGAATTTTTAAACCCCGTTATTTTTTGCGCAAAAAAATATCTTCGTATTTCGTGTTTTCTGCAATGTTACATGAAATTTAACATAACTTTCTGCTTTTAAATCGACACATCTACCAAAGAAAGCTACAAGTAACATGTTTAAAAAGAATAGAGTGACATAATTGTTATTTTAATATTTTTATCGAGCAAAACTGATTAACGGTTTTGTAAAATTCAAAAATCTTTGTTGAAGAATAAAATACGAAAAAATTTCATCGCAAAAAAAATTAATAATTTTTATTAAAACTAGTTAATAATGGCTCACAATTACATTGTGACTGCTCAAAAGCCAACAGCAGTAAATGCTTGTGTCACAGGTAAACGAGTCGTTGTGAATCTATTTGTATTTAAGCTGTAAAAGTGATTTGCATTATTATTTTTAAACGTGCTGAAAACTTGCTTATTTTCATCAATATCACTATAATTAATGCCTTAAATCGTTCATTAAACAGGAAACTTTACATCTGAAACGGACTTAAATTTAGTAATTGCGAAAAATTCACGTCTCGAGATATTTCTTGTAACTCCAGAAGGTCTAAAGCCAATCAAGGAAGTAGGAATTTATGGAAAGATTGCGGTTCTTAAACTGTTTAGGCCAGCTGTAAGTAGCATAATTAATCTATGATAGCAACATCCAATTGATATTTTATTGTGTTTTTTCAGGATGAGAAAAAGGATCTTCTGTTTATACTTACGCAAGCTTATCAAGCTATGATTCTGGAGTGTAAATACAATAAAGAACGTGATGATTTTGAGATAATAACAAAGGCACACGGTAATGTGAGTGATAAAGTAGGAAAGCCGGCAGAAACCGGCATATTAGCAGTAATTGATCCGAAGGCACGATTAATTGGAATGAGATTGTATGAAGGACTATTCAAAATAATCCCATTAGAAAAGGATAGTAATGAATTAAAGGCATACAGTTTAAGAATGGAAGATGTGAATGTTCAGGATGTTGAATTTTTATATGGATGTGCATCACCGACTCTTATTGTAATTCATCAAGATCTCAATGGACGGCATATAAAGTCCCACGAAATAAGTCTACGTGAAAAAGAATTTGTTAAAATGAGCTGGAAGCAAGAGAATGTAGAAACTGAAGCAACTATGTTAATTCCAGTACCGACACCATTAGGAGGTGCCATTGTTATTGGTCAAGAATCTATCGTTTATCATGACGGAACCAATTATGTTGCATCAGCACCTGCAATTATTAAACAAAGTACTATTACATGCTATGCACGCGTTGATCGAAAAGGTCATCGATATTTACTCGGAAATATGTCTGGCAATTTATTTATGCTGTTTTTGGAAGCCGATACTAATGCACAAGGAAATTTGTACGTAAAAGACCTTAAAGTTGAATTACTCGGTGAGATTTCCATCCCAGAGTGCATAACATATCTCGACAATGGCGTTCTATTCATTGGATCTCGTCACGGAGACTCACAACTAGTAAGATTGAATACCGTGCCAGACGAACACGGAGCCTATGTTGTCGTTATGGACACATACACTAATTTAGGTAAGCAACAAACGGTTAAAAATGTTCAAATCTTTTTTAACTGTTAATTTTTAAATCAAAAATATTACTTACTCATTTAAACATGTTTAATCACGTTCATTCAGGTCCCATTCTTGACATGTGCGTAGTAGATTTAGAGAGACAAGGCCAAGGTCAAATAATAACATGTTCTGGATCATTTAAAGACGGCTCATTGAGAATCATTAGAAATGGTATTGGAATACAGGAACACGCCTGTATTGATTTACCAGGAATTAAAGGAATGTGGGCACTACAAATTGGCATTGATGATACTAAATTTGACAACACATTAGTCTTGTCATTCGTTGGACATACGAGAATATTGACATTAACAGGCGAGGAAGTTGAAGAGACAGAAATTGACGGCTTTTTAAGTGATCAGCAGACATTCTATTGTGCTAATGTCAATTATGGTCAAATTATTCAAGTAACAACGAGCACAGCAAGAATAATTAAATGTGACACTAAAGCTATGGTTGGATGTTGGAGTCCACCAGATAATAAAAGAATTGGAGTCGTCGCCTGTAATGCAGAGCAGCTAGTTTGTGCATCAGGAACAGAAATTTATTATATTGAGATTTTGGACGGAAAATTAGAACAAAAATCAGAAATTCAACTTGAGCATGAAGTTGCATGCTTGGATATATCGCCACTTGATGATGCAGCAACTCGTTCAGATCTTGTAGCTGTTGGATTGTGGACAGACATATCTGTATGTCTATTGAAGCTTCCATCACTCGAGAAATTTTACACAGAAAAGCTTGGTGGGGAAATTATTCCAAGATCAATTCTTGTGTCACAATTTGAAGGCATTAATTACTTACTTTGTGCACTTGGTGATGGTTCAATGTTTTATTTCGTAATTGATCGACAAGCTGGCATTTTAACTGATCAGAAGAAAGTGACATTAGGTACACAACCAACAATTTTAAAGACCTTTAGTTCTTTGTCAACAAGAAATGTTTTTGCATGCTCTGATCGACCAACTGTCATTTATTCATCAAATCATAAGCTTGTCTTTAGTAATGTCAACTTAAAGGAAGTCAATCACATGTGCTCGCTTAATGCTGAAGCATATCCAGACTCATTGGCACTAGCGACGAAAAATTCAGTTATTTTAGGTAAGCAACCGTTAAAATTCAAATTTGAAAAAACTGTTGAATTTCTATTCCTCAATTTCTTAGGTACGATTGATGAAATCCAAAAACTTCACATTAGAACTGTCCAACTTGGCGAGAGTCCACGACGAATTGCTCATCAGGAAGGATCAAATACGTTTGGTGTTATTTCAGTAAGAACAGACGTCCAAAAAAGCGAGGGTTTACTTCCAATGAGACCATCAGCATCGACACAGACACAAAATATAACAACATCCAGTACAATTACAACATTGGCACAGCGACCTGGCGTTTGCACGCAAGTTGAATTTGGTCAGGAAATTGAGGTTCACAATCTGCTCGTTATGGACCAAAATACTTTCGAAGTTCTACATGCTCATCAATTTATGCAGACAGAATTCGCTATGTCCTTAATATCAGCTAAATTGGGTGATGACGGCAACACATACTATATTGTTGGAACTGCCATTGTTAATCCAGAGGAACCAGATCCGAAAACTGGTCGAATAATTGTCTTTCATTATTCCGATGGAAAGCTGCACCAAATCTGTGAGAAGGAAATTAAAGGTGCTTGCTACTCATTAGTCGAATTTAATGGAAAAGTACTAGCCAGTATTAATACCACAGTTCGGTTATATGAATGGACAAATGAGAAGGATCTTCGACTGGAATGTTCACATTTTAATAACGTTTTGGCTCTTTACCTTAAGACGAAGGGTAAGTTCGTCGTCGTATGAATTGTGCGACTCTTTACAAATACTCAAATTTCACTAACCGCATGTATTGTACGACTTTTAGGTGACTTCATTTTGGTGGGAGACCTGATGCGTTCCATCACATTACTACAATACAAATCGATGGAGGGAAGTTTCGAGGAAATTGCACGAGATTATGAGCCAAATTGGATGACATCTATTGAAATTCTTGACGATGATAATTTCCTTGGAGCTGAGAATTCATGCAATTTGTTTGTTGGACAGAAAGACAGGTAATTTACAACATTATTTACAAATATGTCGAAATACTAATCCATAAAATCCAATTTAGTGCTGCAACGACAGACGAGGAAAGACAGCAAATGCCAGAAGTTGCACAGTTCCATTTGGGCGATATGATTAATGTTTTTCGTCACGGTTCATTGGCAATGCAGAATGTAGGAGAACGTACAATACCGACGACAGGTTGTGTCCTTTATGGAACCGTTAGTGGAGCTATTGGACTTGTCACACAAATACCTCAAGAGTTCTACGAATTTTTACACTGCCTAGAAAAGCGCTTAAAAGAAACAATCAAGTCTGTTGGTAAAATTGATCACAGTGCATGGAGGAGTTTCAGAACTGACCAGAAAATTGAAGCTTGTGAAGGTAAGAAAATATTATTTTTTAACTGTCATTTTGATCCGTTATATTATTTTTTAATCATTAGGATTTATTGACGGTGATCTTGTGGAGAGCTTCTTGGATCTCAATCGTGAGAAAATGAGAGAATGTGTAGGCGGACTTCAGGTAATTTATTAAGATTAAATCAAAATAGTTTTGACCTGAATTAATTAATAATTATTTGTAGATTGATGTAAGCGGCGTTAAAGAGGAGGCTACAGTCGATAACGTTATAAAGATTGTTGAAGATCTAACAAGAATGCATTAAATATATATTCCCAGTTATGTGAAGTTTTTTTTTTATAAAGATCCAGTATGTGAGACGGAAATTAATCATTTGATCATCATTTCTATCGGAATCCATCAACTCAACATTTACTTTATATTTTTTGCTGATATTTATAAAGATCAAACTGTTAAGTAATATTGTCAATCCTCCTTTAAAGTTTCCTCTTCCCTTTTTTCTTTTGTGTATAGAAAAGAGATAATGCTGATACAAATAGATTTTATTGAAAGAATAAAATTGAATTACAAAAAAAAACTACAAATGGAATAATTTTGAATTTAAAGGAATAATTAAAATTTGGTCGGTTGATTGCTTTTCTACAGAATGTGATGGATACATTTTAAAAGGTTGAATTTGAAAATTTCGTTTGAATATCTTTAATCCTGGGATTTAGAATATCTGAAGATTAATTCGTGGTGTAAAATTCAAATTTTACAAAACCGTCAACATTCAAATTCTACAAAACCGATAATAAAATTAAAATCTTACAAAACCGTTAAGAAAATTCAAATATTACAAAACCGATAAGAAAATTCAAATCTTACAAAACCGTTAAGAAAATTCAAATCTTACAAAACCGTTAAGAAAATTCAAATCTTACAAAACTGTTAAATATTAAAATATCTAGAAACTGAACAATCAACCCACCAAAATTCATAACTAATTTAGTGCCTGACAAGCAAAGCATTTTAAAAGAATGATAATATTACGAATTGTTTAGATTTATACTGTTTTTAATTCACCATAACAACAAGCGCAGTTCTCAACGCCAATATTCGAGCCATAAGTTCTTGTATTTGTTGTCTTTATGTCTGATAAAATTTCTAAAATCTTTCCGGCAGTTTCGCGCTTTAATTTCTCAATATCTATATTGCTATGCTTATGGTCCGAATTGATTATATGCTCACTATTAATTAAGCTTGTCTTCTCGTTTGATTCTAGCAATTTTGTTGCTTCCTTTGCTAATTCTGTGTGCTGATCTGGAGAATGTTGAAGCACAAATTTCTCAATTAGGCTATTCAACTGACACAGCTTTTCATTCATCATTTCTCGATCAGCAGCTAAATTTTTCAACTGGATGTCTCTTTCATGTTCTTTCTGTTTCAATAATCGTCTCTGATTCTGATAAAGTGTAATGTATTCACCAATTGTCTCGGTTTCGAACTGCAATTGAGTTACAACATGTTCAAGGCGTTGCTTTTCCTCACTTAATTCAGCTACTTCCAACATTGTACGACGGAATCTTGACTGTAATTTTTCAAGTGCTTCCTCTGTCGCAATACTTGGCGTTACGCTCATTTTCTGCATTTTTTCCAACTTTTCATCAGTCATCTCTTCTGTATCTCCATTTTCGGCAGTTACTAGTGCTTCCTCATCCTTTTGTGCATCCTTTGACAATCTTCTATTCATTTGGAAGTCATTAATTGCTTTAATTAATTCATTCTTCTCCATTTTTAGCATTTCTATTTCCTCTAAAAGATACTTTTGGGATACGTCGCACGGTTTTTTCTTTGGAGTCTCACTGCACTTCTCATTGTGGGTGTGGGAATGTCCTTCATGGTCGTGGCTATGTCCTTTATGAAGAGGTTCATCGGCCTGAAAATTTAATTTGGGAAATTCGGTTTAAAAAAATATTTTATTGGGAATAACGACTTTTTGAGATTTGAAATTTTCTCAAGTTCAAAAAGTTTGAATTTTACAAAACCGTTAAATAATTCAAATCTTACAAAACCGTTAAATAATTCAAATCTTACAAAACCGTTGAATTTTTCAAATCTCAAAAGACAGTTAAATTTATATTTCATTACTTACAACTTTCTCGTGTGAATGTGAATGCCCGTGATTATCGTGGCTGTGTGAATGTCCATGTTCTTCATGCGAGTGATCATGTTCTAGCCCATGTCCAGTTTCTAAGACATTAATTTTATTCTTTAAGCTTTCAATCAAGTGCTTATAATTTTCAAATTCTTTCTCGACAATTCCACCTTCTGTGCCATGATAATCCTTAGATTCGTAGTGACGAAGACGATCAATTTCGATAGTTTGCCTTAAAACTTTCTTTTCGAGTTCTGTATTTTCGTGAGACAATCGAATCATTTCATTTTCCTTAAACTGCCACTTTTCCTTCATATTTTTTAATTCAACTTCCATAAAATCAAATTGATGCTTCATTTCCTTGCAAAGATGAATTTCTGACTGTAATTTATCAGTAAGTTCCATTTTATCATTAGAAATATTAACAAAGGCACGTTGCAATTCCTCCAATTGAGCTTTTAAGTTTTGATTTTGACTCAATGCACGTGAAGCTGCCGTCGATTTATCATCAAAATCTGACATTAATTGTGTCATATTTGGTGTCATTGTTCTCATTTTGTCAACTTGAAATTCTAGTCCTTGAACTTCTTCGGTCTTTTCTTGAAGCGATTTCATTAAACCAAGTTTTTCACTTTCCAGTTGATTTAACTGTGTTTTTAGCTGTTCATTTTCAGTAGCAAATATTGTGATTTGACTAGTCAATTTTTCAGCGTCAACATTTGTTTTGGTTGGTGAGCTGTTTGCATGTTCCTAAATTAGAGAAAGCTTATGTTAATTCCTTCAATATTAAAGTTTTAAGAAAGTTGTTACATAATGATTTTCGGTAATTATTTACAGAGCCGTTAAAATTCAAATTTTACAAAATAAATTTGGTGAAATTTGAATTTTACAAAACCGTTAAAATGTAATTTTTACCTGGAGCGAATTATGTTCAGCATAAATTTTTTGCTTATGAATCTGCTGCTGCATTTGTCTTTCCAAATCACTAACATGCTTTAATAATTCCTGTTCTCGACTAACCAAAGAATCATTTTCATTAGTCAATTCTACCGATCGTTCTTTGAGTTCCTTCATTTCACTCGACATTGCCGACACATAATTTTGATATTGTGTCTCGTTTGCATCACGTTCGTTATTCAATTGGTCGATAATCGAATTCAGTTCGTTAATTTGTTGTTGTTTTATGGCAACGTCTTGATTCAATGCATTTATGTGTGATTGATGGACTGTATCAGCACTTTCTGGAAGTTGTTGTGTTGTGTCATCAGAAAGTTGTGCTATTTTTACGGTGGCAAGGTGCAGTTCTGTATTAATGTGATCAAAATTCTTCTGTAAATTTTCCATTTCAATTCGTTGCTGATTAAGCAACAGCTTTAATTCATTTCTTTCTAATTCAATCTTAGCACTAGCTTCCTTAATTCCTCTAACGCGATCCTCGACTAATTGTTCTAATTTTTTGGTATCGTCTTCTAATCGATGTATAGGCTGCTGTTGAATTGAGTGCTGTGATTCTAATTGTTTGACACGATGACGTGAAAGATTTAATCGATTATGCAGTTCCTCATTTTCATTCTTTAGTTCCTGAATTTGATATTCAGATTTTTGAAGAGAATCATTAAGATTTGACTTCTCAGTCACTAGAACTTTGATAGTGTCTGCATGTTGCTTCTCTTGCTGTCTAAGACGATTTAGTTCTTCTGCATTCTTCTGCAAATTCGTTGCTGTTGTTCTGTGAAATTCTAGTTCAGATTTGAGTTGCATCATTTGATGATTTTGTTCATCTGTCACATTCTGAGCTTCTTGTGACTTAATTTCAGTCATTTGCTGTTGAGGTTGTTCTGGGATGTTATGTGATTCATCAAAACTGGATGTTGAAATATAATCTGGCCTTTGTTGTTGCTGTTGATATTCTCCATGAAAAGCAGACATAAAGCTATTCGTATTGTTTGTAGATGTATCAAAATAGCTTGAAATTAATGATTGTTGTGGAATATAGATACTTTGTGTCTGATCATTTTTATTCGGACTATTTCCAGTACTTTTGACTTCTTCACCAACTGGATCTTGATTATTCTCACTAGTTGGAACATTCTGTTCATCAGAAGGACCTCCATCCTTCTTATGCGTTTGAAATTCCTTGAGCTGCAATTTTGATGATGTGGAATTTATCAAGTTTTTTTTTGGAAAATTTAAATATTTCACTTCAATTCACTGTGTCTTACCTTTTTTCGAGCCGCTTTCAACTTTTCAGCTTTATCCATAATCGCTTGGTTCACTTAATATGTTCTAAATACTATTATTTTCGATTAAAGCAGGCAAATTATTATTTTTAAGACACACAACAATACAAAGCTTTTGATGTTTTTGTTCGATTCATTCATAGCTTTGAATGAAAATCTACAACTGTCTAGTTCACTTTGATGTCTTGACTGACTTCTTTTGGGAGGATTAAGCATTGAATGTATCAAATTAGTAATAATTTCAAAGATAACGTGAAATTAATATTTGAAAAAGAAAGTTCAAAATTTGAACTTGGTGATTTTTGGCGGCAAAATTTTGGTATAAGATTCGAAATTTTTCGAATAAAATCTCATTTGAGTCTGAAAAATCAAAGTGTGAAGATCTAATTTAAAACAAAACAAGGTAAAACAATAGTTAAATAGAAAATAAACAATTTAAACAATAAGAACTAATGTTCAATGACGATAAAACGATATCTAATGTGAGTAAAATCATTAACTTATTAACTTTTCAAAAAATACATGAACATTTTAAGAATAGTTTTCAGGAAAGCATTAAGAAACATTAAAAGGCAGAATAATTGATTTAATAATAAAAATTGATAAAAACAAATTTTAAATTCAATGAATGTTGATTCTCACTGTGTGAGTAAAAAAGAATAGTCACGTTTTTGAGTTTCGCCTAATTTTAATTAAAAATGAGCGATTAAAGGACTTTAAATAGCATAAATCGTGTAAAACTCCAACGTAAAATCGGTGCGTGATTTGTTAATTAAGTTAAAGTAGTCAAATTAATTTAACTTAGCACACAAATACTCATATTAATTATTCAAAAAATCAAATGATTGAAGCCAAAATGCCACAGACTCTGAAGAGAAGCTTTAATTCATCACCATCTGAAAGTCAAAATTCACCAAAGCAGGATAAAGAAAAGGTCATTAAAATGGTTCAGTACGCTGACAAGAATGATGTCGAAGAGCTCAAGAAACTCATCCGATCAAGCACAAAAAAAATGAATGAAGACTTCTAGCAAGTAAATAACACTTTATTATCACTGAGAAATGACAAAGCAGCAATTAAAAACGAAATAAAACGTATTAAAACAAGAGTTGAGGTTCTCGAGAACACAAAGATTAATCAAAATCAAGTCAATGAAGGCTTAATAGCAGAATTAAATGCACTAAAACAAATCGATTTGGAAAGTCTGAGTGCATGGAGCAAAATTGATTTAAATGAGTCCATCATCAAACGAGCATCATGTAAAAATGTCAAAAACTCTAATACATCAATACTGTTTCTTGACTTCTATGATCTTGCCAGTAAGCATAAAGTCATGAAATATGTCAGGATGTCACAGAAAGATAAAGACAAGAAATACATTCCAATCTTAACGGATCATATTTTCAAACTTGACCGTGCTGATACGGCAAGGGAAACATGTTTGGCTGAATCAAGGATACGTCATGGTGAGGATCAAAGATAAGGAAAAGCCAATTAAAATAATCTCACTAAACCATCTAAATTCAATAATCTCTAACGAACATGCATAATTTGAATCTACGCATCTCTTATTTTATCTTTTGCGCCAGTTTGTTTACATTTTCGTACAAAATCGTTTAAATAGTTATAATTAATGAGTTTTTAAATCATATTTCCAATGCCAAATAATGTGCATTTCATTCGTCAGCTTAAGCCAATTACGAGCACTAGTAGGAGATAGTAAACTTAAAGATAAGTCGTTCTTGATATTTTTTTTCCATTAGAAATTCCAAACTCATCAAAATTTCTCTTCTAGGACGTATTTAATTAACATTAAGGACTGGTCTTTGCGTATTTCAGTTGATTTAATTGTTGTGACGACTGCAAAAGTCAAGGATGTGAATGTTACGCTAATATTTTAGCAGTAATAACATTAATATGAACAATTATCAGCATCAGAAATCAAGCCGATCTGTCTGTATTCCAATCCATAACATCACCCGTAAGTTTTAATTAATCTCCTACAGTTCCTGTATATTTTTTTCTACACACTTTACGCATACACTCTTCAAATTAATGCACGAGTTATGTTTAAGATAAATATCATAATCATAATTGTATACAACACAATTTATTGAGAAATTGTTTTGCTAACGTTCTCTATCTTAATGCACGATCGATAAGAAATTCTCTTCGCGATATCCAATTGTTTATAGAATTTCAACCGTTCTGTATTCATATAGTAGTAGCTGTTGAAACCTGGCTTAATACTGAAGATGTTCCATTCTTTAACATACCTAATTATCACGCATTTCACTCAGTCAGGAAAAATAAAGGCGGTGGTGGTGTAGCAATTTTTGTTCACATTAATTTCGACAATCCTAGTCTTTCACTAGAATTGGATTTTAATAATAATAATGCTCTGATAGTAACACTAATGAAAAACAAAATTAAAATAATGGCATTTTATAGACAGCCCAGCAATCCAACAGATTTAAATGGTCTGCTCTTCATTGATATTTTTGAGAATATTCTCTCAAAGAATTCTAATGCTTTAATTTTTGGTGACTTCAATTTTAATCTCTTAAATCGTGTAGATAATATATTTAAATACGAGAATTCGTTTGCGCTTGATGGCTTCTCACTATTGAACAGCCTAAGTGAATGTTTTGCTACGCGTATAAATCCAACTTCTAATTCTGTTTCAATAATTGATCATGTGCTAACTGACTTAAATCTATATCATCAACATATTACTTTTTCACTTTCTCTTTTTCATCGTTTTGCTGATCATAAATCTATTTTGTAATCGATCAAAAAAGAGGGTGTCCCTAATAAAACTTCAACGAGTAGTAATTTCCATAAAATTACTAATCATGCGAAAATCATTAAGAATAAATTAATAAGTAATCTAAATGCTGATAGTTTTAATGCGTATTTAAAGGACATTAATAGTAATTGAAGATAATAGCTTTAAAGTGCGTGTAAAATCAGGGTTCTACGGAAACCTTTTATCAATTTTGAAATTTTAAGTAATATATATATATCCGACAATATAAGTATTATCGGAACTTAACTGCTTCAAAAGTGAAAGAGAGTAAAAGAACTTTTCTTGATAATTATCTCTAATCAAATGCAAATGATCCTCATAAATTATGGCCACAATTTAAAAGCTTACTTTACAATACTTATGATATTAAATCATCATGCGACATTATTTTAAATAATCGAATTCCAATTGTAGATAAGAATGCAATAGCTAATCAATTCAATTCTTTTTTATTTCAAAAATTTAAAAAGTCATTACTTCGCAACAATTGGATGACTCAGATTTTCATGAATTTCATTCATTTGAGGAATATGATGTTTCACATAAGTTTTCAAATCCAGTTTGCACAGAGGATGAATTATCATTAATTATCGATAACCTCACCAACTCTAAATCCGTTGACGCTTATAAAATTTCGAATTTTTTTGTCAAGTTGCATAAAAATAACTTAATTAATAATTTAACATCACTAATGAACAGCGCCATTAAGGCAAATGAATTTCCGGATTGCCTCAAAATTGGTATTGTTAGTCCAATTCATAAAAATGGTAGTAAAACAGATGTTAATAACTACCGACCTATTTCAGTTTTACCAATTTTCTCTAAAATTTTTGAATATGTAATTAAACGGCGGCTTGATGATTATTTAGAAGCAAACAAAATCATTCATATCTCACAATTTGGTTACACAAAAGGCTCAATCACTGAGCTTGCCGCAGCACACATTCTCAATGATGTTTATAGGAATGTTGATATAAGATATGCCACATCGCTTACATGCTTAGACCTCTCTTCTGCTTTTGATTGTGTTAGACATTCTGTTTTAATTAATAAGCTTAGAAAAATTAAACTCCCCTCATCTTTCTTATCTTTAGTAGCTTCGTACTTTAATAATCGTGTTCAAATCGTTAAAATTGATAGTAATTTTAGTGACGCATGTGTAGTTGAAGAAGGAGTTGCACAAGGTGGAGTTTTGTCAGGTACTTTGTTTAATTTGTATATCAATAGTATAAATTCAATAGATCTCCACTCGTCACTATCATTATATTGTGATGATATAGCTATAGTTACCTCTGCAGCTACCCCATTGCGCCTGAAGCAAAACTTAGAAGAGGACTTAACACGAATATCAGTATGGCTAAAATTACATTTTCTTTTCCCTAGCGCGAAAAAAATAAAATACTTGTTGTTTCATAACAAAAGGTGGCATGAAAATTTCAATGAATCAGCATTGAATATTAAATTTAACGGGACAGTAATTGTAAGAGTTGACTCTAATTTCAATCTCTCGTTGAACTTAGTAGTTGTTTCAATTTTATCACAATTTTACAATTTAACGGTTATAAAATTATTCGAATTTGAACGGCTATCAATAGTTTAAAGCATATTTGCTCAGTTTATGACCGCTATTGCTTAGTTTTAAATTCATAGTTTGTTTATGTTTACATCAATTAAATATTTTTAAATTATTTTGTTTCTCGTGCATAACTGCATTGGAGACACTAAAGATGCCACTTTAGACAGCAGGAACTTCTTCAGCTTCACTTTGAAAGGTATGAGATAGTTACTTTCTCTGATTTCATTAGGTAAGGAATTATAAATCGATGCTCCAATAATTTCGAGGTCGTTTCTTCTAATATTTGTATTAGATTCTTTTAATTTTAGCAGTTTTGTGCGTGTTGATCTAAGCTTTTCAAAGTGGATGAGTGCATCATCCTAACATTTAAAATGATTAATAGTTCTGCTAAAATAAATTTCTCGATCAAATATGCGTACCAAAGACATAGACATGCTACTAGAAATGCGAATAATATTTTAGTTCCAATAACAGCTACACAATTAGGTGCATCAAATTTTTTTGTCAGAACATTTAAAATTTTCAATGAAATACCTATTAAAATTAAAAAGTTCGTTAGTCTTAGCATTTTTAAATCTAAATACAGAGAACACTTATACATACAACAATTATGGTATGACACCTAAATAAGAATTATTTTTTTTCTCTCACATAATATAATATAATTTTAAAAAAAGTTTTGAACAGTTGTTAAACTATAATACATATATGAATAAATAAAAATAAAAAAAAAAAAACAAACTTTGGAAGCAAAGATCCAAAGCAAATAAACTTAAAGCCAACGGTTTTGTAAAACTTAAGCCGGTTATTGTAAGAAATCCACATAAAAAATACAAAACATGTTAAGAAGACCGATGTTCAGTGATTCTAGGCGCATTTCACATAAGAAAATCATAAACTTGGAGTCATTTCAATGAAAACATTGTTCGAATAAGCGTATAATAACGTTCGATACGACTAACTCGCCGTCGAATTTATTGTAAACTGCATTTGCTTAAAAGAAAACATACAAATTCAACATATTTAATTTTGCTGAATCAGTGTTTTACTACACATCATTATATACAAGTCTATTAGTTGTAATTATGAAAAATTAACTTTGTTATTGACAAACAGACAAAGCCTGAATATTAATAAACTTTCTTACGCTTAAAAAAAGTTACAAAAAATCCAAACAAAAACGACAAAACGCACATATGACTGACTGACGCGAACTTAGTCGGAAGAAAGCGAAGAAGCGAAAAAAAGCGAAAATGCTAAATTATTAAAATAACACTTAAAAAAATTAATATCAAAGACTAAAAGGTCCAAAAAGTAGTGAAATCGTGAGTTAAAGTAATCGTGATCGTGAATAAACTGGAGTAATGTGTGTATTTATAAGAAAATAAGTGTTTTTATGTATTTAAAATATTTCCCACAAGAAAAAAAAAAGATAAAGTGAAGTTAATTTTTGAAAGCGCAAGCAAAAAAAAAATTAAAGGTGATTAAAGAGTGAAGAAAAAAAGAGAATATATTTAAAAGAAGTTTTTTATTTCTTCTGATCTTGAAAATAAGATCCAATTAATAATGGCAAATAATAATTCAACACATAATAAAATGTATTCGGAGTCAACTTATCGAGTTGGAGGTAATATTAAATAAATGGAAATGAAGCATAGAAAAGAAAAAAAATGATTATCAATTGCAAATATTCACTTCCACATTGGATTACCTAAATTGAAATATCATGTACGTAAAAAGATTGAGGAGAGGAAAAAAGTGAAAAAAGAGTTTGTGATGATGCCGTTATGCATCTAATTAATTAGTAAATGTAATCTACTTTTTCTGTATTTGTATGTGCATCATTTACCGGCTTAATATTTTAACGATATAATAGCCATTAAAGTATTTAATTATTTAACTGCGAAATGTTGAGAGACATTTTGTTATTTCTGTTTCATATTTTGTCGTCTTGTAACTTCTTTTTTTTTGTTGGTTTGGTTTGGTACCTCATACCTCACAATGGATATTTTTTTGAGAAAAAAAGTGAAGACGCGCACACACATATCAGCAGTGAAGAGTGAAAAAAGAAAAAAAAACCCATCCAAAAACACCAAAGTGATTAAATTATTCATGAAATTATAAAAGAGAGAGAAAAAAAGAGGCAAAATAAACGATATAACGAAAAAGGCCTAACGATAGATGAAAATGGATGAAAGAAGAAAAAAAAAAAACAAAATAATGTGTTTGAGAAAAGAAAAAAAAAATTGTAAAAAAAGTCAAGTGTTCTAAATTCACCGAATGAAATGAAATGAAAAAAAAAGAAATCGGAAAAATATATATAAAATAATAAAACGGCTAGTGATTGCGTGCTTGTTGCGATGGAAATGTATTTATATATTTGTTTTAATAAAGTGCATATTAATCGCGTCTCTTGTGCGCTGCGAGGGAGGGTTTTGAGGTAACATTTCCGAACTATTTCTCATTCTACGACCACGATACTTGTAACAGAAATAATATTGTCCGGACTATCGAGACATAGACGATTTCATGCATGCATCTATAGTGCATCATATGTGCATCGATGCACTTAAAACACTCAACAAACGAAAGAAATGTGGCTTATAATTTTATTAAACGCATCTAGAAATATGGAAAAGACAAAGATACAGATAACAAGCAGCAGCGACACATTATGTGAATGCGATGACGAACGAAAACTTCGGGGTTCATGGAAAATAATGTCGAAGTCGCCCCAAATAGCTATATTGCTTCGCCTCTCTTTATATTTTTTTTTTGTGTTGATTCTTCTTGCCTGCCTGCTTATTCGGATGGCAAAATGCTTCCATGTTCTTTTTTCTGTGTTGTTCTATACTTACACGGTTTTAGATTGAAAAATTATCTGTATTTCATTGTTTTTCTTTCCTTCTCACTTATTCGCTTGTTCTTGTCTCTCTCACACTTTTTTTTCTATACACACTCTGTGCTCGGGATATAATTCGAAAAAAAAGAATTATTCAAGCGGTTTTAGAGTTAGTTTTGTATATATGTAGAGTAGTAGATAGAACATGCATAAAAAAAAAGTCCATAGTAAGTTCGATTTCAAATATGCTTATCACAAGTAATACGTCTAAATGGCGGTCGCACGATTTCACTTCTCCACAAATATATATATATGAAATAACTATTTTTATGCATACCTTTCAACTTGCTTATATTTTCCATTTTGATTATTGTCCGTTCTCTCTCAGCTCGTTTCTTCTTTCAACTTTTATATTTTTTTCCCATTACTTTTTATAATTTTGTTTTTCTTCTGAAAGTAAATTGCAATGAAGATGCATTTTTGCATTATTTACGAAAATTAAATTAAATAAAATGTTGAGTAAATCTAAAATTAGGATCGAGAAATCATCGAGTTGAGAATGTTACTTTTTTTCTTATAAAAAAAATTATTTTTTTGTGTATCTTCACAAGTCTAAGTGATTCAATTCAATTTTACAAATAAATTAAATTTACAATCTAGTATAAATGCTATGGGAATGTATAATAGAACAGTCATCATCATCATCGAGGCAACGAGGAAGAATATAATACAATCTAATTATGTAGCTGGTTCTTTTTCATACGTGAATTCATAATTGTTAATTTTGTGTTAGTGATAGCATTACTCATGACCGTACGAAAAGAATTTCGTATAGACATATTACCAAGTCGAGCGATAACGACGCATTTTCTGTCAAACTGAATTTTATTCTGAAGTAAAAGTTGATTGTTAAAAATATAACGATTGGCATAAATTTAAATTGACACAAAAGTCAGACAAAATTTGAAAAATAATTGTTTTTGAGAATTTAAAAAACAACGGCTGTTAAATTTAAACTTTAGATAATTTACCAGACGAATAATTTCAAGCAAAGGAGTCAGTTTCAAGGGCTTTTCGAGAAAACCTAACCTTGAATTGTGATTAAGGAATATTGCGCCAAGTAGCCCTTGAACCTGACCAAAGCTAATCCCTAATCTGGAAAATGTACGATAGTACATGTTCTAGTCCAATACTCAAGCAGTAGACAGCCAGACAGACATCAAAACTAGTTCCCTCATTAAGAATATCCCGCTTAAAAAAACTTATAGACTTGTAGCAAAACGTAAAGGAATAAAAGTTGATAAGCAACATCTGCAATTTCATGCGAAAAATAAAGTATGTAAGAAAAAATCATGGCGTAGCATCACGAAATGTATGAAACAACAACAAATAATAATGAGAAATGCTCTTCTTCTATTTCTCTTATCATCGATCATTGACACATTCCTCATATATTAAATATAAAACGATTTCATGATCATTAACGAATGAAAATAAAAAGTGAATATATAAATGGGGAATATCGTCAATATATACAAAATATTTCACAATTTGATTTTTTTTATATTTTCTTCTTCTTCTACTTTATATATATTTTTAACACACTAGCACATCACATTTAGTGTCGTAAATGAATTCGATTTTGAAAAAGTAAATAAATGAAAATGATGCGGTTGTAATGAAGAAGAAAATTACTTCGTGATAATAATTTCTTTTTGCACTTCTCACACTCAATAGTTATATCCGTCGTTATATCATGTATAAGTCATTGATTTGCGTATTGAAAATAATACTTTTTATCGGCAGTTATTGATTTTATTTCTATTCTTTCTATTTACAAAAGAAATCCATTTATGGCAGAGTTGTTGTTGCTTAGCAATTATTTGGGTTTTGAAAAACTCAACGGTTTTTAAAATTCTAAGTTTTTAATTGTTCAATTTTTGGTTTTTGAAAAATTTGTTATTTCTAAAATCGTTGAATTTTAAGTTTTTGTTTTTAAATTTTTCGAAATATAACGGATTTTTTTTTTAATTATTGAATTTTATTTCAAATTCATAATGAACGTTCAAACAAAACTTTTATGCAGAACGCAATGAACTCAACGTTAAATCAAAGTAATTTATTTGAAATTCACAACCAAGCAATTCAGCAAAATGTAAAATTCATAAATCTTTACGAAAAGAAATCTAGATAAAATTAAATACACTTAAAAAGGCCCGTTCATGGCTAATAAAATTAATAAATAAATTTTGCAAACAATAAAAATTCTCACAAAGACGAGAATCACAAACCATTAAGACAACCCTACTCTTAACTAAACGCATGTATAAATGATAACATCACATGCTTTATACACATATATGTATATAATTTTCTCGATAAAACTTCGACTCACGGTGGTGAAGAGAGATAAGAAAGATAGAGGAGGGGAAGATAGAAAGACGCATGAAGAGCTGTAACATTTTAACTTTATTATGTACGCTTTCATGTCTACATTAGATGGTTTTTTTTTCTCTTTTTTTTGCCCATCTTTTTTGTCGTAGTCTCCAAACTGTGGATTGTTCTCAGATTGCGCGGCATTGCTGCTTGTATTTGTGAATGGAAAAAATCTCGTTGAACCAGAAAGACGTTTTTTTTTCTCTGCTGTACATTCGAATTATGTGAATGTCAGAAAAATGTGCTCGAAACAAACAAAAAAAAAAAGAAAGAAAAATAGAAAGAGATAAAAATGTAATTAAATGAGCATTTATGATATGGATATGCTACCTTATCGTAATTTTGTGGATGGTTCTTACTTAAAATGAATATTTGATCACTTCATATCGAAATGAATGTTCTTGATAACTTCCAAATATCCAGTGATGTAATTTTTAACATTTCCTGAATCTCATTTCCTTCAATGACACTGAAATCCGATGCAGAAGGTTCACATGACTGTTTTTTAAAACAATTTAATTTAATTTCTAATGAGCAAAAGTGAGAAAGAATCAAAGCACAAAAAAAAAAGTCAATGATCATATAATGGAGAGCTTTGCGCTCGAGTTGGTTAAGCAACAGCTCTTTTTGTATATAGTTTAATCTCTCAATGATGTCTCGTACACTAAAACCAAATTATTGTTCTATTTATCCCATATTACTCTCATTTAGCATTTGTAGCTTGATACACGAAAGCGAGGAAAAAAACTGTTTTTAAATTTGGGTGCTTACGGCTGTCAAAGGCGCATTTTCTAGGAATCGAAAAAAACTGAAATAAAGGTCAAAAAAAATTTGAAAATTTAACGGTTATTAATAATTCAAATTGAGTAAAAAAATCTAACAGACAGGCAGACAACAACTTATTGGAAAAAATCAGCTAAATATTCCCATTGTTATGTTCTCAACGTGAATATGTGTGAATGCGGAATTTAATTTCTCAAAAAAAAAACTTGAATATTCGAAACACTATTTAATATATTGGAGAGTAAGTTTTTTTGATTACTGGATATTAAGATGGATTTGAAGGTCATTTAGATTATTAGACTTCCATGTTTCCATATACAATTAATTCACATCAGTTAGAGTAATGTTTCGTTTATTTTTTTCATCACGACTTTTACATGTCGAATTCTGATTTGTTGCTTTTTTATCGTCTTAATTCTCTTGCTGAATAACTAAATGTTATATGGAATTTCATTATAATTGCAATTGAAAAGTGTCATTTTGATCTGAAGTCAGCCTACGTTTAAAGTTTCTTCTAAACTCGTCGAGCCATGACGATAAAGTTGAATGTGGAGAGAATGTCATGA